AGACTGGATCCTGGGGGAGAAAACCCCTTTTCTTTTGTTCAACAACTCGCCTTTTTCCATTCATTTTCATTTACATTTTTCGTTTTGGGGTTTCTGTTTGCTTTATGAATTTAAATTGTCATTAATTAACTTCATGCGAGGTGGTGGCGGCGAAGGGAGTGCGAGAGCTGTTGCAGAGCAAATTATTACACATACGCCGCATTGGCCGCCGGACAGACTCACCGACTGACCATTCATTACGGCCCAACCATCGTCGTCCGAACTCAATTACAGTTTGTAAACTTTTCAATTAGCTATAAATAGTTTATTTATGTATATTTTTCGTGCAAACTCATGCTGAGTGTGTGTGCCGAGTGTGTGTGCTTAATTGAAAGCGGCTGCCTCTGGTTTTTTCTGTGTGGGGAGTTCGAGGCGGTCATTAATACTGTTGAGCTTTGGCCGCTTTCGTCCTTGCAGCAGCAGCAGCAGCAGCAGCAGCAGCAGCTCATTTTAACGCCCAGCGAAGCGAATAATTGCTATTCATATCATCATGCTCTCACGGCACATTGACAGTCAACAAGCATCGCACATTGCGAATCGCACGCGCCCAGCATCATCATTATCGAATGCAAATTTTTATCGCCATTTGCACTTTTTTCGCTTTTTATGGCCAGCGAGAGCAGTTAATGCATTTCGGGTCTTGTTGAATTTAGCATTGTCCTGTAATTACCCGTGAGTATCACTCTCTCTCTCGCTCAAACAGATGGTTTTAAACTCGTGATTAATTCGAAAGTTGGCCACAAATTGCATTTTATTGTTTGCCTTGCAAATATTTGCGGTTGATTTGGGTTATTTAACATTGGGATGTTAATTAAAAAGCAGCGATTTCATAACTGCAAAAGCAAGTCGGAATATCCGCAGGCCATGAGCACGAGTCTAACTCAAATTGCACAATTTTTTTGCGGCAATCTTTTGCTATACAGTGAAGACTTAAAAATAGAGGAAAATACTATAAAAGGAAGCTATCTTTCCATTTCAAGCAAGCTCTTGTGCGTCTTCTAATTAAAATACCTAGAAAATACCCTTTTTCATGGACCTTTCACTGTACTTGCATCAGCGTTTGGCAGCTGTCATGCTCGTTGCCTGCATTTCCGGTTGTCGACGCCATCTTCCTTTTCAATTATGGCCGCTCTGCCTTTTGTCGAAGCCATTTGAACAGCCACAGGCGCTCCTTCACTGTCGCCTCTGTCGATTCCTGGCTCGTTTTCACACCGCGCTTTGTTTGCGATTTGAAACAAATGTAGCACGGAGAGGAAAATCTAGTGCAGGCAGGAGGAAGCAACAACAGAAAAAAAAGACGAGCTGCCGAAAACCGAATTGAGTTGAGTTGTTGATGGCAAAACGTCAAAAAATCCACAAATTCTACTAGTTTTTTTGTTGCTTGTCTTGCATGATAGATACTTTTACATATTTTCGCCCCACCATTCGACATTTTTTCCGGCAACTGGCCCAACGGCACTTGATTTGTTGTTTGTCTTTTGCAGAACATTTCCGGTACCTCGCTTTTTATTTAGTTTCGATTTCCAGCAGCAGCAGCAGTAGCGTTCTTTTTTTCCTGTCGTTTTTGGCTGTTATTTATGGGGGAACCGGCGAGTGATGGAGCAGATCTCATCGCTCTCTTCGCAGTAGTTGCCTGCCCATCCATGCCCATTGATTTTTAATAAATTTTTGAGCTGCCCTTTCGAATGGTCGATTGAATGAATGCCTGGCCCCAAAACTATAACGACCACCGCTTACACAGGTCCCAGGTCCCGGCCTCGACTGCATAATTTCGTTTCAGCTTCATTTCCGTTTCGAACTAATCAAAAAGTGTAATTTCCGATTAGTTGTATTCAGCATTGACCGGTTGCTCTCTCAGGGAGCGAGAAGAGGGCCTTCCCTTCTGGAGCACTTCTAGAGTGCTAGAGTTCTAGTTCACCGAGTGCAGTTCGAGTCTCGAGCCTCTGAGCCGACTTTTCCCTTTTTGAGTCCGGCCACAAAAGGTGCGGGGAGGATGGTAAAAAGTCCTTTTCTGTGGCCCGGTTTTCCTTGCATTGTGTAATAAATCGGCACATTGACCCCCAAGACCACCGTCGTCTGCTGCCCTGATTGAAAGTGGGGAATTGGTCGGATAATGACCCTTTTACATTATGAGTTATGAGGGCGAAAAAGTTCAGAGGAGAGAGCCAACTATCAATTTATCTCAATCTTGGCAATTCGTAGCTCACTTTTTGGGGCTAGCAAGTGGTTTAAGGTGGGTTAGCTTAAATCTAGGATTGCGTTGCCCATTAAAAAATATAGGTGGAGTAACAAGAGATTAATCTATTAATTGATTAAGGGAACCATTAATCCTAGATCATTTATTTATATATTTTAATACCCTTACAAAGTAATTTTTAGTTAAAAGTTTGCAAACAGAGTGAAGTAATCATTTCCGACCCCATAAACCATATATATTCTGGATCAACATGATCAGCCGAGTCGAACTAGCCATTTCTGAAAGAAAAAAATTTGTCAACAAATTTAAAGCCATCTGAATTAAATTAATTAGTTAATTAGTTAGTGTTCTATACATATACTCTCAATAGTAGCAGGAACAGGTCAGATCATACAGCTGATATAGAAATGATCGTTGGATCTCTCTGTCTCTTCCTCTCCCTCTCCATCTCTCTCTCTCTTTTTCTATATGTACAGATACCTCTTACTCTCTATCTTTCTCTGTGTATCTCTTGAGATATCTCTTTCCCTCTCGCTCTCACTTTCTCTTTTCTCTTTACTCGGGGACTATAAATACCGGGCTCTGCCGCCTTGCGCACCTCATTCAGTCCGCGACCACCCAAGTGTTAACATCTCTAGTTATAGTGATTAGTGATTTCCCTTCAACCCAAAAATATCACCTGACTTATGCAATGTATTCGCAAAGTTAACAGCCTAAATTAATTATTAATTATTAGCGAATATTGATTTCTTACCCTTACAATAGTTTAAAAACTAATCCTGACTTTGGCATTAACTTTTGATACATTCTTATACCCTTTCAGGGTATTCTTATTTCAGTCAAAAGCATGTAATTCATAAAGGATCCATTTCCGACCCTATAAATCATATATATTCTTGATCAGAATAAAAAACCAAATCGATCTAGCCATGTTTGGGAGTAAAATTTTTTTCGAATTTATTTTCAAAATTTTATGACTATATTGACCATATTGTGAAAGTTGAAAAATTTGATAAAAATTTAAATTACTATTATTTTAAAACTCAATATGCAGATTTGTTAACCCTTTAAAAACTAGCACAGAACAGCTTTCCGAATTGAAATTAATGCATTTTTGACTGTGTTATGAATTTTTTAAACTTTGATTTATCATACAAATTCTCATTAAAATATCAATAAATATCAGTTCAAAAATGGTATTCCAATTTTAGTCAGAAGTTTGTAACTCATGAAGGAGTCATTTCCGACCCTAAAAAATCATATATATTCTTGATCAGAATTAAAAACCGAATCGATCTAGCCAAGGGGTTACATCGTTAAAATTATTAAAAGTTAAACTAAATTAAATTTTTTCAAGTTTTAAATTGAGAATGCAGATTTATTATCCTAATAAAAACTAACTTAGGACAGCTTTCCGAATTGAAATTAATGCATTTTTGACCAATTTATGATTGATTTAATATTATTCTCCCTGAATCAATTTCAAGCTGAGAGTGTATACGAATTTCGGCTACCCCTTTCTTGCATGGATTTATTTCTATGTGAAAATGTAAAACTTTACCACTTGAAATCGTATTTACCTTTAAAACTCTCATTTCGCTTTAAATTCAAGCATAATTAAAACGACAGATGGACAGAATCCGGAGTGGCAGACCACGTTCACCCGTGGACTATCTCTGACCATGTGTTTGTTGGCTTGTTTAGCAAACAGTCGAGGTGTATGAGGATGAGCCTCAGTCAGTCTGGGAGTGTGTGTTTGTGGAAATCAGTAGAGGAGACTGCATTGCATTTGCATATGAACGGAATGGAATGGCTGGTGCCTGCAGGTGCCACAAAAAAATAAAAAGCGCACAACAGACCAACACATTAACAGGTGTTGACTAAGCGCCAGACAGATCCAGAGCCATCCTGCAGCCCTGCATATCCTCACCTTTTGCAACTGCAATTCAACCATAAAGAGTGGCTAAAATTTGTTTATAAAAATTTAAGGTACTTTTGGGACACAGCCAGAAACAGAGGTTTGAGGAGAGTTCACTAACCGAAAAAGTATGCAAACAAGTTTGCTTAGGCTCTGATTTTATGAGCACTTCAACAGGTTCAGTCTTCACATTTTTGCTCAGTGCTGTGTCAGGGATATCCCCAAAAATTTGCCTGCAATCGCTTCCAGGGCCAAAGGCAGCCTAAAATCCCATTTGTGTTGCACTGAACTCGTTGGGTTGAGGGGTTTGGGGTTCCCCTGTCCGCTTTATTTATGCAAAAATAACAAACAAGTCGAGTTTTTGGGAGGGTAAAGGAGCTGCAAAAAGTCAGGGCAGGGAACGAGAACGGAGTGGCTAAAAGCCTCAAACGTTGTCTGTGCGCCGGACATTGTCGCCGTGTTGCTGCTGGATTATTCACAGCCGTTGAAAGTGTGCAATGAATGAATTTATGGTCCTCCGCCCATCGCCCAACTCCCAAGCTTAACTGGGCAAAGTGTATACAAATGTGGCAGCATTTGGCCATGTTATCAACGTTTTTATTTCGTCCTCTCTCTCTCTGCCCTCTACCGGCAAATAAAAACCGAAAAATAAACAAATTAAGCGAAGCGCGGAAGCGGAAGTGCAGACATCTCTGGCCATTAACTGAGCCGGAGATGGTTCCACTGAGAGAGAGAGACAGGCAAAGAGAGACCTGCAGGGATTGTCAGCTGTTTAATATTTCAATTGGTTAAACAATGTTCGCTTATGTGTTTTCCCCTTTCTTTCTCTTTTGTTTTCCATTCCAGCCAAGGCCTCCAAAGTCATCCACTTGCGCAACATTCCAAACGAGTCCGGTGAGTCGGATGTGATTGCCCTGGGCCTTCCGTTCGGACGCGTGACCAACGTCCTGGTGCTCAAGGGCAAGAATCAGGCGTTCATCGAGATGGCCGACGAGATCTCCGCCACATCAATGGTGTCCTGCTACACAGTCAATCCGCCCCAGATGCGCGGCCGCATGGTCTATGTGCAGTTCTCCAATCATCGCGAACTGAAGACGGACCAAAGTCACAATGTGAGTACACCCAAAAACTACATTTAATCAAATATTTGAATAAGTTACACTTCAAACTAAACATTTATGAATTCATAAAGGTTTTCCTTTTGTTTTTTGCCTTCTCAAATCCCATAATCGTTTTCCTGGTAGTAAACCCTTTGAAACCGATATCTGCCTTTAGCACAACTTCCTGTCTTAAGTGTTATTAATGTGGCAATTAAGTTTTCGTCCGAAAAAGGGAAACAAATGAAGCAACTGCGATTTATATGCAAATGTGGGTCGACGCCCCGTTGCTTTAGCGAAAAAGGAAACCTCTGATTAATTACACTTTCTGGGCAACTTAAACCCTTTCCCTGGAGAGAGATTTGGACCCATCATAAATGCACACACCCAGACACACACACACGCGACACTCACTTAGGCAGGACATCTCTTTGTGGGTGCTTCTAAACCAATTTCTAATTTTAATTTCGTAAGCCACAAAGTCACTGACAAAGTTTAAAAAGCTTTCAAATAAATACACATGGCCGCACTCACACACACACACATTGTGTGGCACAAGAGCAAACAGTAAAATGCATAGTTTTTGGGGTTTTGCGGACACGCACCCATACATAGAGAGATAGGACTCGGATACATAAATACAAATGAAACCACACGCATACCAAGGAGACAAACGAATCAGGAATAGAAGAGATGCCAGCTGCTTAGCTGCCGAGTCAAAAGCATATTTTGATTACTTAAATGAAAGTGGAGGGGGTTTTCTGACTAAAAGAGGGAGATAACCGCAACAGCAGCAGCAACAGCAGCAACATCAGCAGCAGCAACAGTAAGAGCAACAACAATTGGGCCAAAAGAAGGCCCAAAGCGAGCTTGTCACCTTTTGTGGGCGTGGGCGCTGCTACCTTACGGTCTGGTGGTGGAGGATTCCCCACACGGTGGTGCTGCTGGTGGTTGGGGTGGTGAGCCCAAAAGCAAACTACTTAAAAAGAGATCGCAACAGCAGCAGCAGCAACAACGAAAAAAGGTTAAGAGGCTGCAGCACCGGCACCACAAGGGCCAAAATAAAGTACACAAGAAAGAAAAGTTATATAAAGGCTAAAGAAAATTATAAAAACTAGGGTTTAATTATAGAAAAAACCTTGAAAGAAAATGTTACGACTACAACAAGATGGGGTTTTTAACTTTAAAGGATAATAAGGCTTTGAGAATTAATAGAAAACCCTCTATAAATATACAAGTTTTACTTTAAGTGTAGTGGCATAGCCTATGACTTAGGTGACACAGCAGCAACAATAGCAGCAACAGCAACAGCAACAGCAACAGCAACAGCAACAGCAGCAGCAGCAGTAACAGGCAGCAACACCAACAACACAAGCAGCTAGACCGAACAATACAGTTACATTTCACTGATTACCTTTTGGCTGTGGCTACCACAGTTCTGTGTGTGCCTGTGTGTGTGTTGGCTGGTTGTGTGGGCAGATTTCTCTTGTTAACTACTAATCCTAGTAAAAGGCCTTGTTGTTGGCCTCCGCAGACGACAACGTGAGACAAGTCAGACGAGTGGAAAAGTCAACGCTGCTGCCACCATCTTCTCTAGTGGAAAATCTCTTAAAATGCAGGGGAGTGTGTGTAATCGTATGTGTGTGTGTGTGTGATGCTGCTGCCAACATATTTATACAATTTCTCATTTCATTCAGTTTTTTTTTCGTTCTCTGTGCCCCATGTCCATTGTGAAAATGTCTTGTCTCGGATCCTTCTCCTTGTATATTCTTCTGTATATGTTTTTCCCTTCATGCCGCACCTCTGTAGCTGTCTCTTCATTGGCTTTTGTGTCTTCTTCTCGTCTGGCTCACCTGTGCCGCATTCAGTTGATTGTTTGGTGTCCTGACTGTTCCTTTTATTTCTGCGTTTTGCGTCATATTTCGCCGCCTGTCATTTGCTATTTGTTGTGTTGCTGCTGTCACTAGTGTTGCTGCTCCGGCTCCTCCTGCTGCTCCGTTGCTAGTGCAATGTGGCAAGCTGGAGATAAGATGCTTAGCGAATTGTTGTCAGCTCCTTGAGAAAACTTAAGAAATCATATATGAGCGGGCACAAGGAGCGCTGCCTCTGGTGTTGGAGAAATGTCAGGAGACTAGAGAGACACGAGAGAGAGACGGCGACAGCGACAGCGACAACTCTTTCTATATTTCTTTCTTTTTTTAATTCCCTCGTTAGTTGGGTATTTCCGTAAATAGCAAATTTTCCCCAATTTCCTGTTTTGTGAGATGCTTTAAACTCCAACCGAAGAAGGGTTTTAGGGGGAGAAAATCTATTTCATCTGCAAAAAAGGGGGAGAGAGAGACAAATCCATTGCATGGCCTTAGGGGATTTTAACCCCACGCACCTGAAGGCAAAAGCTGCGACGACAGGCAGCAACAGCAAATCAGCAATACAGGATTTCCAAATCATCTGCTTCCCTCTCAGAAACACACAAGAATCCCATATACATGCACTGAGAAAAATGTGCAATAAGTTGTGAGATGAATATAATGTTTAAACTGCTTATTACAGTAAGAAATGTATACAGAAGACAGAGGCAACTCCAAATGGGGTTTTGAATAGGTAGATTCAATTCCAAAAAGGTGTTTCTTCAGTGTAAAAATGGAGACATCTAGTCGCACACACACATGTGCGATTCCAACGGCTGAGTGATTGCAAGGTATAGAAAATAAAACAAATAGGATGAGGAGGGAAACCCAAGCAACAGAAATGAAAAATCCCGTAGCATACTTTGCAGCAATCCCCACTCCCAGCAGCTCCGACATTTATGTTGGCAATTTGGCAGTCAACCGGCAACGCTGCCGTAGATATAGCTGTAGCTGTAGCTGTAGCTGTTGCTCCTGCGTAACAGGATTCTAATATGTCATGTCGCAGGGATGTCCTTTCACCTTTTGCCACAAGCAAAAGTAGCAACATCCTCCTCCATATTCTGCCCCAAACCCATTCCCATGCCTAGTACTCTCTGCGGAGCCCTGGGTTTCCGTTTCTATTTTCGCTGATGTCTTACTTCTAGCAACTTGCGCTTCGACGACCCTTGACTAAGATGCCAGAAATGAAGATAAATGCACTGGCAAGTTCACGCGCGGTTACGACCGCAACAAGAGCTGCCCACAGAGCCACTCTGATGCCCCCAAAAAGTCTCCCCTTTTTCCCAGAGTAAACTCCATGCCAACCCCAAAGGTCCGCAACTGGCATTGTTTAGTGGGTTTCAAATTTGACATGTGATTGTTTTCTGGCTCTCTGTATCTGTGTGTGTTGTGTGTGTTCTTTTGGGGGCGATGGCGCATCTGTTGCCCTGAGTTTTGTTTTGTCTGGGTAATTTTGATAAATTAATTTTTGAGCCTAGTCTGTGGCCTCTTTTACGGCCAAAAAGGGTTGACAGCCACTTGGGGACGAGACCCAACGCCTCCGTTGCCAGTAAAAAGAATTTGATTGAAATATAATTTCTCCAAAACAAAATCCCCCACACACAGTCTAATCTCCTGTGTAACATTTGCCATTCCTTGGGCTTCATTAGATCCGCACAATTGATTAATCGCTGTATGAATACCCAATGAATAGATGTCTAGAGCCGGGCTACTCGGTATTCCGGCCTCCACAGGGGGTCCAAGTGGATTCGAGTCGAGTCGCGCGTTCAAGTGCGAACAGCAAATTCAGGTAATCATCATAATTGGCAATCGGCGCCCAAAACAGCCAAACAGCAGGCCCACCGGCAGAAGACAATAGGCAATGGAACCGAAGCGAGTTCTCCGGTCGACTGCAGCTCATTGAATGCACTTTGAAGAAATCACTCTAAGAAAAGTATAGTTATTCTGAGGGAATTCTAGGTAGAAATCTTAATTGAGTCAAGGTTTTGAATAAGAGGAACTTTGGTAGACTAAATACCAAATAACTTGGTTCTCTAACTCCTTTACAAGGATTCTTGCACCATAATTTCTCTCTTAAATCTGCTGGCTCCTGCTTAATCAAATTTCAACTTCATTTTACACCCATAGAATTTCCCTCAGTGTTTATTGCAAATGCATTTCCCCGAAGCACGCTTGTTTGCATGTGTTTGCCGTTGTTGTGCGAATGCATGTGTTAACTGTTGTACTCACTGTGTGTGTGTTTGCGGGCAGGTGCTGGCTTTCCCTTCAGTGATAAGGTTACCTTGTAATTAAATTAAATTGCCGACTACAGAGACAAGGCCGGAGAGAGCTGCATTTTCCGGACGCCTCCTGTGGCAAAATCAAACAATGAAAAAGGGAAAATCCAAAGCCAGAGAGAAAAACACAAAGTACACTAGCGAGCGAACGACCAAAAGGTGACGGACAGCAATTGTCAATTAATGGGGCACACACGTGAAAATTAGGCGAAAACACGAAGGAGGATTAATTTACAGAGACCCCCGTTTGACACCTGGCCAAAAGGGGGGGAAACTAATACAAATGTCAAGCGATTAAGCCGCAGAAAGGATCAACCTGATTAGCAGCAAAGTCTTAGGCCACGTCTGTCTATAAATAACACCGAAAGGGGATTCGAGTTGTACATTTGATTTGGTGTTAATAATATAAACCAGGCTCAGCGACACACACAGCTCGATGTGTTATTTAATTTGCTGTTTGGCCCAAAGACAGGCTGTCAATGCCTGTTTGGGAAAAGCCCAAGGAGGAGGCAAGGCGAAAACGGCGAGGAAAACGAGCTTATGGAGCCTTTACTTTCGGCACGCTATTTGTCTAACTCTCAGGGTTGTGCAGTTAAAGGATTTCGCCGAGGCAAATAACTTCACATATCTCTGAACGCTGAGCGTTGAGCGTTGAGCTATATCTGCTGCTGATGTTGCTGCTACTCGATGTTTATTTTTCTATGCGATGTTTTTCTTTCCTGTTTTCTGTTTTCCCATTTTATTTTCACGTTTACTTTTGCCCCCCACGTCCGCGACTGCCGTCGAAAGGAAAAGTAAGCTAATCTTATTGTTTTCCCAACAGCAACAGCAGCAGGAGCATCAGGAGCAGCGTATGTGCTCCGGCTCCGGCTCCGGCTCCTTCCTTTGCTCCTGATCCTGATCCTTTGAGTTATGCGGATGCGAGTGTTTGCTTATACTTGCGCCGCGCTAAAGCTTTTTGCCATTTTGATTGGCGACGTGTTGAAAATGGATTTAAATTACATTGTTTCGCCAAGGACGTGCTAGCATGCCTCACAGGATAACAACTGCTGCAAAATCCCCCAAAAAACCGACAACCGACAACCAACAACTGACAACTTTATATGTATGCACTGACTTTTCCAGCGGCTGTGTCAATATTTTCATTGTATTGATTAGTTTTGCATTACCGAAAAGTGGCCTTGCCGGCTCAAGGATATGGGAAGAAGGAAAGAGTTTTCTTTGTTTTCACAGGCATATTGACTTATCCCTTTTTTTTGTTGGTTGGCCAGCGGATTTTGCTACTTTGCGTAACTCGTATTTATTTATGTGGGAATATGTTCGCCAAAAGGCTTCTAACACACCCTTTTTGCGCGGTTTATTTTTGCTATTTTTGCCTATATTTGCTCTGTGCATAAATAAGACAAATATGGTCTTGGTGTAGCCAAAGAAACCGCATCTCTTTTTGGTGGCTTGAACTGACTTGACTTGACCGTAAAAACCAGGCAGAAGGCAGCAGATAAACGACCCACAGCAAAGTAATACATAATCCGGGAGCTCAGCTTTAAAACTTAACTACACAAGTTCATAACTTGTAGTGGTAGTAGCCCCGAAAAACTTTTCACCAGCAAGCTTCTTGGGTTTTTTCGTTTTGGTAGCACTAGCCATAGCCCCCTTTACTTTCCCAACTTGACTGGGAACACTTAAGCCAGCTCTCGAAAAGGGGCGACGACACTTGAGTACTTCTTCTCCGCCTCCTCGAAAAGGACTCACTCGCCTGCAGTTTAAAGTGTGCCTGTCAAGGAAAATGCTGGGGGGAAAAGGTACTCAGTGTGACATTGCAATGAAAATAAACTTCCTGCCTGCCAGAAAGGAGAAAAAAAGAAGGAGCAGCAGGAGCTGAAGCAGGAGCAGGAGCAGCAGCAGGAGCTGGAGCTCCTATGAAACAAAAATATTTATGCAAAACCTTAAGTGAAAGCAGCGTCAATATTTTTTTGGCGCCTGTCGCTCTGCGGTTTCAGCCTTCAGCTTTTGCCTTTTGTCAGCCATTTTTCCGGGTTTATTTCTTATGCAAAAACCGCATCAAAATCATAAAACAATTGCCGAGTTCTCTTTTCAGCTTGTTGAATATGGCAAAAGTTTTCCGAGCCAGCTTCTCCCTGGGTTTATGCCCAGTAAATGCTCCATGAAAGAGTGAACACTGTATTAAATGAACTTTATATTTATTTTAATAGACTTTAATAAGAATAATAGGGATAATAAGGAAGTATGTGAACTATTTTCTTACATTTATTAAGTAAATGTTTGATTTTATTATCAGTTTTACCTTATTATTATATCTTATCATAAAGAACCCTTACTGTACTGTAAACAATCTTCAAAGTATTAAATTTGTTAAATACTTTTTGGTTTTCCACCATACGTGGCCATCTAAAAGATTTTTAAAGAATCTCCTGGATGCAGGATGCACTGCCACAGGAATCTCTGTTTAATGCATAATAGTTTTTCCCCAAAAATCTATAAACTTTTCACAACTGAAAAGCTTGAGTGGGGGGAAAAAACTCGGGTAAAGTTTTCCGATTATGATTTAGCAAGTTGCTGGCAGTCGTATCCCCATGGTTTTCCCATCACAACGACGTTAGTTAAATGCTTCAGAGACGACGACACGTGTGTCCTTTGTCCAGATTTTCCCACTGACACCAGCACACGGGAATCGATCGATAAATGTGCTTATCAGCAACTTTGTCGATACTCTTTTTCGCTTATCAAAGCGCTTTTGGCTTATCAAATGTGGCATTTATCGTGGCAAAAGGTGAAAGGGAAGCCACGAAAACCATTCCATCGATATTAAATTATAACAATGTGGTGAGTAGTTTCGCGTGTGTGTGTGTGTGGGGTGTTTGCATATCTAATCAGGCCACAACAACAATTCGGTATTCTGGATTGGGAATCAAGAGGGGGAGAGAGCGCACACAATTGACTCATTAACAGGCAAAACCGCGACAAGCAAAAGCCCAATACAAACAAACACTCTCACACACACCCACACACAACCATTTGTTATGTTTAATGATGTTGCTGGTTGTGGTGTTGGTGGTCCCTAAACTTTAACCCTTTAAAGCATATGTCCTGCAAGGATAATTAGAATGGCTTAGCCTAATGTGCATGCAAGTGCTCCCCAAACTTTGGTTTGCCTTTAGAGTCTGCAAAGCGACAATGACCCTTTAATACACTGCAGGAAAAGAGGGGAACTATTAACTAAATAGTAGTAATAGAAATTACCTTTCGCTTTTACATTTCAAATAATATTTTCATTAAATTGTGATAAGTTTCTACTGACTTTATATATTCAATAATTTATACTCTCCTCTCAGTGAAAGAGTCATTCCATAAACATGTAACTAGTTTCGCTTTGCCTAGTTACACTCTGTGAAGTTGTCAGGGCAAAGTTAAGCACAATTATCAAAGTGCTTAAACGCCTGCCAATTGGCCACTTGACAGGCAGTTAATATTAACTTAACTTACTGTTTAAACAACAACAGCAAAATCCTCCAGCCCAAAGGAAGGACAGCATGAGTAATAGATGGGCTAAGGCAAAAACGCTTCCCAACAATTACATTACAATTTTTACACAATCAACGTCATCGTCATCATAATAATCAGGCAAAGTGAAGTATCAAATTACGCGCTGTGGCAGAAGGAAAAGCGAAAAGGGAATGGAAACCCACTGATGGCATCCCACAGGCATCTCAAGCCGGAATGGCAATCGAAGATGAAGCAGCCGCATCATCATGCCCCACGCCCCATGCCCCATTCCCATGATATATATCTAGTGTTAGTAGGGGGATAGTACATCCCACATACGCCCCGTTGTCTAGCGCACACACCGCGTCTCGTCGGCAATTCTAATCAATTTTTATTATTTTTACAAACTTTGGCAGCCAGCCGAAGGAGCTCACGTCGCCGTGCTCTTTTGTTTCGAATGGTAGCGGAATTTATCTAGGCAAGGGCAGAAACAAATAGCACGCCTGGGGAGGATTTTTCCCGAGAACTTTTCTTTCTTTCCACCCATCCTGTTGCGCTGACAAACGCACAAACGCACAAACCAAAAAAAAAAAATAAGGAACGAATAGAAAATAAAATAAAATAGAACGCACAGGCACAGGCACAGGATATCGGGGATGCCAAGGAAATCGTAGGAAAAATCAGAGGAAAATCATGGAGGGAAGGCAGGTGGGGCCCGTGGCCATGGGCGGTCGAATGTGTTTACGTTATGATTTTCGAAATCAAAATTCAGCACGAATAGGAATAAATTTACTTCCGAATGTCATTAAATTGTTTTCCGATAGAACGTGTATATTTCACGCAAGAAGTTTTTTGTTGCTCACTAAGAGCACGCGGCCCATCCTGGAAGGAGGAGGCTTCTCCGCATATCTGGCATCCGTTCCAAGGATACTTGTCATTGGCAGACTCCTCCTGGAACGAGGCTAAAGGGAGATGGTTGTACTTCCTCCTTTCTTGCTTCCCTTTATTATTACGATACTTGATATTATTGATTTTGATTGAGATTTATGTCGGCGGCCACGCAGGAGGATATCCCCTGTCTGCCGTGCAAAATGTTTAGCATATTTTTGCACTCGAAAAATAAGTCTTGGGAGAGGTTCATTAAATATTGAGTAAAAGGAGTGACTAATTTTAATTGATATGAATTCTAGAATTAAATGAGTAAATAACTAATTAGGCCTTTTAAAGTTTCATTACTATAATACCTTAGAAAAGACATACAAATGAATAGCGAAAATGCTTTACTTTTTAAAATGGAAGCTCAATTCTCTCTAAAAAAAACCCCTTTCTTAATTTAAATAATAATTTAATAAGAAACCCTATAAGATTTCCTACCAGTGTAGCGATTCTTATTCTCTTTTTGAGTAAAAAACTTGCCCAGCTGCATAAATTTTGTGCACTGCCAGCTTCCCTGCGCTATGATTAATGCGCAAAAGTTTGCGCCTTTAACTAATAAAAGTTTCCGGACATTGCCGTCAGTAAATTGACTCAACATCTAATGTTTTTCTCCCCCATCTTTATATTTCTTACAGAATTCGGTTGTCCAGAGCGACTACCGCATCCAGTCGCCGGCGGGTGGTTCCCCGCTGCCCTTGTGCGCCGCCAATGCCACCAGCAACAATGCCAATAGCTCCGGTGATAGCAACAGCAGTGCCGTGGCCATTTTGCAGAATAACACCAGTGCCGTGAATGCGGCTGGAAATAATACCAATTCGGCCGGAGGACCCAATACCGTGCTCCGTGTGATTGTCGAGTCACTAATGTATCCCGTATCGTTGGATATACTGCATCAGATCTTCCAGCGTTATGGCAAGGTCCTCAAGATCGTCACCTTCACCAAGAACAATTCATTCCAGGTACAGAGATATGATAATATTCCTAGTTTGAGCTCAACTAATCATTGTCTTTTATGCAGGCCCTCATCCAGTATCCGGATGCAAATTCGGCTCAGCATGCCAAGTCCCTGCTGGACGGTCAGAATATCTACAATGGCTGCTGCACGCTGCGAATTGATAACAGCAAGCTGACGGCACTGAATGTGAAGTACAACAATGACAAGTCGCGGGATTTCACGAACCCCGCGCTGCCCCCGGGTGAGCCCGGTGTGGATCTAATGCCCACCGCTGGCGGACTGATGAATACCAATGATCTGCTATTGATCGCCGCCCGGCAAAGGCCCTCCCTAACAGGTGATAAAATAGGTAACACAAACGGAACATTTTCCCGATTTTTTCATTTATGTTTACTCTACGCTTCAAGTTGCTAAAATGACACACAAACTTTACACACACATACTAACCAGTAATTACACTTAAAGAAAATATGTAGCTTTGCTTTGTTTCCACTATTTATTGCCTTTACACCTGCTATCGATTCGTATTACAAGCTTAAGTGGCATGCAACTAATCAGGATAACGCAAGGCTCTGGCAAAAACTCAACTAACTTTGATTAATTGGATTGATTTCAGTCAACGGCCTGGGTGCCCCGGGAGTCCTGCCGCCCTTCGCCCTGGGCCTGGGCACTCCACTGACCGGAGGATATAGCAACGCCCTGCCCAATCTGGCCGCCTTCTCGCTGGCCAACAGCGGCGCCCTGCAGACAGCCGCACCCGCCATGCGCGGATACTCGAATGTTCTGCTCGTCTCGAATTTAAATGAGGAGGTAAGAGTCCCTATTTTTCGAAGGATATTTAAAATTAAAGGATATACTTGGCATATCCATTTTTGTAGCTTTTTTACACGACTGATAGAACTAATTAATAGGAATAACTTCTTGAATATCTCTATACAATACTTTAAAGCGCAAATAAAATTAAAAATTTCGAATATAACTTTGATAGAAATTATGATATAAATCAAGGCAAATATGGCACAATCTCCCTTGATAAGTTTCCTATTAAATATTTAAAATATTAAAACATGTGCCAGTGAAAAAAACTCTGTACTGTAGCCTCTAAAAAATATATATTAAACTGAATGAAAGTTTAATAAAATTCGTCAATATACACTGCGCGTCATCAGATTAGCGCCCCCTGAACATTCTCGGGTAATGTCCAATATTATCCAAACTATCAAGGCTAAAGCCATAAAACTTTTTTTGACGATACTTTTAATAATATTCTTCAAAATAAGATAAGGTACATAATGATAAGTATAACAATAATATTTTATTTATTTGAAAAGAAAATGTATACCAAAAATATGAATTTAATTTTGCGTCATCAGATTAGCGCCTGTAAATTCAAATTTAGTTATTTCGCGTAATTTTTGGCGTACAGTTGTGAAATTTTTTGTGCTGATTAATTGAATAATTGTTCATAAACTAAGAATCAAAATGGGTAAAGGAACTGTCCTATCTTTAGAAGAAAAATCTAAGATCGAAGCCTTTAGTGAAAGTGGCTTATCTTTACATAAAATTGCTGAAAAAATGGGAAGGCATCGAAAAACTATAGCCAGTTTTCTTTAAAATAAACAAGGCTATGGTAAAAATATGAAAGACGGTAACAACAGAGTTCTTTCCGAAGCAGACATTCGGTCTATAGTTAGACATGCGTCTAATTCACACGACTCTTCTACCAAAATTAAAGAAAAAAAGCGGTGTGGAAGCTAGAAAGTCCACGGTATTACGAGTCATAAAAAAAGCAGAACACTTGAAAAGACTAAAACTAAAAAAAAAAACACAACTAAATAAGTTACGAAAGGAAATGCGCCTAAATTTTGCTCGCTCGCATATGACATGGTCGAAGGAGTGGCGCTTTGTAGTCTTTTCCGATGAAAACATATTTAATTTAGAAGGCCCTGACGGCTATAATTATTATTTCCATGACATGCGTAAGGAAGAGCATATTTTAGATCGTTTACATAGCCGGGTAGGTGTTGTAATGGTATGGGGAGCCATATCCCATTATGGCACCTATGAGTTACAATTTCTCACCCCAAAAATGAACGCCGTGGCGTATAATAATCTTTTAAAAACGGCTTTCCCACACTTCCAAAATTGTTTTGGAAATCTTAAATGGCGTTTTCAACACGATAACGCTCCAATCCATACTGCCCGATCTTTAAAATCGTGGATACAGGGCCAAAACGTTGATGTCCTGGAGTGGCCGCCGTACTCTCTGGACTTAAATATAATAGAGAACGTGTGGGGATGGCTCTCGAGAAAAGTATACGAGTCTGGAAAGCAGTATAGTACAAAATTGGAGCTCATCGACGGGATTAAAGAAGCTTGGTCTTCAATATCATTACAATACGTTGAGAAATTGTACGAGTCACTTCCCAGCAGGATCTGTGAGGTCCTGGAAAATGGGGGCGGGACCGCCCACTATTAATTTGATTAGAAAATAAGTAAATAATAAGATAAAACATAAAACACTACTAGTTGTTAAGTATTAAGTGAAAATTCATTAAATTTAAGCAGGGGGCGCTAATCTGATGACGCAAAATTAAATTCATATTTTTGGTATACATTTTCTTTTCCAACAAATAAAATATTATTGTTATACTTATCATTATGTACCTTATCTTATATTGAAGAATATTATTAAAAGTATCGTCAAAAAAAGTTTTATGGCTTTAGCCTTGATAGTTTGGATAATATTGGACATTACCCGAGAATGTTCAGGGGGCGCTAATCTGATGACGCGCAGTGTATATCACGATTAATCAAAAGGATTTCAATTAGTTCACATTCCGTGTTTGTCCACATTTCTTTCTACAAGTTTTCATTTACATTTGCCGTTTTTTTTTAAGCAAACAAATATCTGACAAAGCTGCCTGGTTTTTTTATTTATTTACACATTTTTTTTTTACAAGTTTTCATTTCACATTTGCCGTTTTTTTTCAAGCAAACAAATATCTGACAAAGCTGCCTTGATTTTATATTTATTTACCATCAAATGTATTACATTATTATTATATTTGTACTCTCGTATATATATATATATATTATATGTGTAGTGTATCGGGGAATCTGTTCCCCTTAAACTCCCTCAGCCTCCGCCTCTACCTTTACCTCTCTCTTGTTTCCCAGTCAGATTCATCATCTGTTCCATTTATTTCTCTGTTTAATCTTTGTTTAATTTTATTATTTGTAAAACATCTGAAACGAAACTCTCGCTAACTGACGACAAACTCTATTTTCTCTTTTTCTCTGTAGATGGTCACGCCTGATGCTCTCTTTACCCTCTTTGGTACGTCTGCACAACCGAATTACTACTACTCTATTAATTGCCAGTTTTATTTTCAATTTTATTCGTTTTGTTGTCCCGCTCGGCCAAGGCTAGACCCAAGGACCTTGGTTAATTTTGCAGATGCAGAGATATCCTTGAGCTCTCTACTAAACTCTATCTCTATCCTTGAAGTCTAAAGCGAATTCCCCATTGTCCTGTCTAGCTTTGGCCAGTCGCAACATGTCCCATATATATATTTACACTCCTTGAACAATTTATAAGTAGTTTACTTGATTATTCATTGAATTTACACTGTACGAATCGAGCGAGGCCAGCTCTGGGTCCTATATATCCCTTTTCTCTCCTGTTTTTTGTATATTTTTCTGTTGGTACTTCCTGGGCTTTGGCATTTACGCCATTTACGTGCAATCAGCAAAAGTGCCATGAATTATTTATGCACTTCGGGGTGCCAGCCTCTGCCTCTGCCGGTGGGTTAAACAAAGCAATAGCTGACAAAAATGCGGCACAAAGTGTTTAAAATATTGAAAAAGCCTTAACATAAAAAACAAACAAGACAAAACCCCAGTTCAGGAATTTGTGTATGCAGCATTCGTTTGGCAGTTTGCACATAAAATGCATCCGCCATGTGGGAAATATATAAAATAGTAGAGCCATCAACTCAAGGCTGTAAAACTTTGGACCTTCTAGTTTTTCTAACCCCTCTCTGACTCCGGCTTAAAGCGATCCTGTTACTCTCGTGGGAGTACATAAATTTTGAGGGCAACTTCGATCAGAACATAAAATCCATTTAAATTGCTTCCGCATAGTCCATAGTCCAGAGCCCAAAGCCTGAACCTTCAGCAAATGGCTTTCTAATGGCTTTCCATCAGCCAGCTTGAAATGGAAATTGAAATAGAAATAGCAATAGAAATAGAAACCATTCTGGGTTATATCCATTTATCCTGTCATAAGTTCTGCTTACAAATTGTAAAACAATGAATATGAGAATGCATGTACGTATATATCTTCGTACATATATTAAAAACATGTAGCAAAGGCGACTGGCAACAAGTGAGACCGCACTCAGGACCCGCTGCTGCAGTCCTTGTACCTACATCCTGTTGCTCCTTCTGCTGTCTGTGTGAAATTACATGAATTAAGTGTGTGCTCGTGGCCGGGCTTCCATTGTTGGGGTCTCGCATCACGGTGAGGCGGTGAGGCGTTAGGGTGTGAGTGTCTAAGGACTCTGCCAGGACTAAAATGCATGCACAAAACACATGCTTTAACATGTGCTCATCCTGCCACACACACACACAGGCGGCACAAAAGATTGAGTGCGGAAGTGCATAGCTATAAAAATGTCCATTTATTTAGTTATCATTGCGCTTGTTGCTGTCGCCCATTGTTGCTTTTGCTGTTGCTTTGCTTAAGTGTGTATGCAGTGAGAGAAAAGATGGGGGATTTTGAGAAGCAAATGAAGTCCAAGAAATGGAAGGTAATACTTTTTATATAATAAAAGAAATTTGGTAAAAAGAAAGCTGTTAAGGTAGAATTTGGTAAAGATCATTTAGTTTAATAGGACATTTTCTAGAGGTTTTCGATTAGAATTAAATATATAACATTTATAAATATTATTTACTATCTATAGAACATAGAAATGGTGATTTGGGACCCTCAATTTAGGATCATAGGTAAAGTCCGCTTTAGTTTCGAACAATTAAGGCAGCCTTTCTCATTATCTAAAAATCCATTTAAAATAGAAAACTCTTAACCATTTCTCACCATGTATTTGGTGTGGTTTTTTGCCCCTTCACTCTGGCTTTCTTTCACTTTATAATACACACATGTATATATATATATAGTGTGTGCACCTTTTTGTGGCACACACACAGAGAGTGCCACATCCATGATCATTGTGTAGTTTTTGCTGGCTCTTACAATTGAAATAAAATTTACTTGTGACTTTTCGTAGCTCGTTGGCTTGGTTAGCCGCTTGCTCGGTTGGTTGGTAGGTTTCTCGAATGGAAAGGAGGTGCAAGGAGCAAGGAGCAAGGAGCAAGGGGCAGGAGCAGGAGCAGGATTGTATCTCCTTGGTAGTTTTTCGTCGTAGTCGTCTGTCGTCTGTTTGCCAAATGAATTTAACTAACTTTGTAAAGTTAATGGGGTTTGCTGTTTGAATTGCTGTCCCCGACATCCTGCTCCTTGCCTGTGTCCTGTATGTGTGTGTAGTTTATTATTTTATGGGATTCCCAGTTGACTTTTCACTTGCGCTGCATTTCTCCATTTCTACGTTTGGCTTGCTCCATTATGTACTTGATTTAATTACCAAAACACATCGATTGAGCAAGTTTTTGTCCGGCAAACAAGCATGTGTGGCGCATAATTGCAGCATAATGGATTTTGGTTGCCACACACACACAGAGAGAACTGTTCCTTTTATCCTTTAGATACAATCTCTGGTGAATTTTTTGTCCCAAGTGTGTATGTGTGTGTGCTCCTTTGTTTCTCTCTCTGTCTCTCTGGTGACACAAAACGGTTTGTTTGTGGCCAGAATCCCCCTTTGTTTGCATGCAAATGCATTTAATTTGAGTTTAAATACCCAAATATAAACTTTTGCCAAACAAACGAAACGAAATGGAGAGAGGTGAGCCGAGTTGAGGTGAGGTGAGGCAGGGAACAACAAGGGGTTAAGCCGCTTGAACTTAACCCTTGTGTGCGGTTGCTGCCTTTGATTTATATTTACAAATTGCACTCTGCATTCTGTCAGCAACAGTTCAGAGGAGAGCAGAGGAAGCTTATCGCTCAAAGTAAACAAAACTGTTGCCGAACGTATTAATTGCTTAAAAATTGTTTCTGTTTGTGGGGGATTTGTGCAACAACAGCAGCAGGAGCAGCAGCAGGAGCAGGAGCACGAAGGGAACGCGGACTGTGGAAAATCCAGGGAAAATCCGATCAATGCTGCAACAGCTAAACTTACAGCTTGGCAGCTGACTGCCTGCACTGCTAATAAAGCTTAGATTGCTGATTAAACGCTCCAAAGGACTCAGAAGGCCAAAGTGGAAAAGCGTTAAAGTAGGAAACTCCTGCCTGGATACCCCATACGCCCCGTTGCACACAGACAGACGACGGCGGAGAGATGTCGATAAGTCGAACGTTAAGCGTATTATTATTGGGGTGCCAATAGATTTAGATAAACTCGAAGGGAGCCAACCCAGCCAGCGTGTAATTGACGGCCACAGGACACTCTTCTAGCTACTAGAGACTTGTGCTACTTGCCACTTGCGACTTTCGACGGGCAATCAGCCAAATGGCAGGCTAAAATTTTATGTAATAGCCTTTTGAATTTCCAAGTAGCTCTAAGCAGACAGGGGACAGACAGAAGCAGAGCCAAATACACTTAAATGGTAGCTAGCTAAGGTACATCAGCTAAACACCTTGCCTATCTCTAAAGTGTTCATCAATTTTGAAACCTTTGAGTGACTAATAAATAGCTTGGAAGGTATTCAATATATAAGAAAATCATTACCTAGTCCAATAGAATAGATAACCCATTTCTAATTCACTTATTACAATATTTTTCGGCCAGTGTAGTTGCCAACGGGAAAGTGGCAAGCGAATAGCAAACCGGCAAATGGCATAACGGCTGCTTTTGTTATGTTAATGGCAAAACACGCAAGGACACGTAACAACAATTTCCATATGAGGCGGTGCCTGGGTGTCGCTGAATTTAGCACTTCAAAGGGTCGGGGTCAAAGGGCGCGACCAAGGATCAGGATCAGGACGAAGACTATATGCGGTTCGCTGCCTGCGCTCACCTGACTGTGTTTGCATATCAAATAATAAAAGTGGCAAGCTCAGCGCAACGCCAAGCCGGAGACAAGCAAACAAACGAACGCACTTCAAAAGCGTTTGGGTTTTGGATCTAGCCGGAAAAAGGCCAAAACCCTGGAAAAGTTGTCCAGGAGCAACAAAAAAACGAAAAAAAAGAATAACCCTTTTCAGGCGCCGCCGGTAGGCAGTCAGACATTTTATTAGTTTTGACAGCGCTTTGTTCGTCCTGCGAGAGAGAGCGAGGACTCAATTGAAAAGGACCTAAAGGCCCCACTTCTGGGGCATGCTCACCAGACACTTGACACATGCCGCTTAGCCTGTCAAGCATTCAATAAGGTCCTTGAAGGCCCCAGGAATCACCCCCATCTAACCTCCCCTCAAATCGAAGACTGGGATTGAGTGTGGCCCTTTGCATAACAATAAAAGAAAACTTAATCAGTCTGCAAATCGTCTGGGAAACACAACCCATTACGGGGACTACACAAACACCCATCGCATATGCCATTGTGTAATCCGCTTATGTAATTGTAATGACGTGATAAAAATTTATATCATTGCCCAAAAATATTGTCGAAACGTGTTTAATTGAATTTTTATGCGTTTAGATATCCGGCTCTCGCTCTGCCCGGCTTTGTGCGAAATAATTTCATAAAATTTTATGCGCTACATGTTGCGGCAGCACACACACACAGAGCATTTGCACAGAGCAATGCAATTTGATAAAGTGCCCTGCTCTCCGCCCTGAACGCGCCCCGAAACCCAGGCAAAAATTAAATCCAATGTGCAAATAATATCAATGAATTTTTCATAAACGCTGCAAATCGCTTTTTAGAGCGCGAACGCGCGTTCGGAATGTGATTAAATGGAAGTCGCAGTGAATCGAAAACTGTCGAATTCAAATACTAAATTCAAGCGGCGGCGGAGGCAGGTGAAAAATTTAAGAGTTTGAAAAAAACTTTACAGCCAGCCGCCGCATAATTCTTCATCTGGAATATGCCCAAGCACAGGACTAATGGGCCAACGGGGAATCCTTGGGCTCATGTCTGCATATGTTAGTGTCGCTAAACCAGCAAAAATATACATGTATGCATATATATATGAAAGAAAAAGAAGGCGGAAAAAGTAGAGAGAAACTGCTTCTCCGATAATAAATTATTATCAAGTCTGTCGGGCGGAGAAGTCTGGGAATACTGAAGCTAAAGAAGCCTGTGGTTTGGGCGCACTTTGCATGGCAACCGTATTGCTCATACGCCCCGTTGCATGCCAAACTTCAAGTTATGCTGGCACACTCAATACGCTCCACTGCCAATACCTGCAGATGTGGCCGCCTGCCACAGCTTCTGTTGCAATTGTAGCTGCCCCAAAAAACCGAAAAACGAAACGAAATTGGCCGGCATTTTGGCATAAGTCAAGTCGTCGTCCGGCGGATAACTGGTAGAACTTAGAGGAGAGAAGAGGGAGTCAGTCAGTCAGTCAGGTGGCCAGTCGTCTGTATAAAATGGATTTACTGCCAACTGTTGAACTGTGTGCTCTGTCCTTAGAGTGTGTATGTGTGTGTGTGTCTGCGAACTACATCCTTTGCTGCTGCTCCTCCTTCCGAATCCTTCTCGTACTATTTACTACCTGCATTTCCATTGCTACTTTTGTAACTTGTTAGCGCACCGCTCGCTTCGCTACGCTCCGAGTGGCTGGCATGGCCCTCACTTTTATGGCCACACAGCTTCCTAAGTTGGGGATGCACAGAAAGAAATATGAATGGGAAATATTGAGGGGTTTAGAAGATATTAGGAATTTAAAAAAATTCAAATTAGAGTCATTTAAGGGGAAGTTAGAACCCTAAAAAACTTTCACAATTATCTTCGAACTGAGAAGAAATGTATGTTATAGGGAAACAATTTAGTATACCTTAATATAAAATTTTATTTAATTTATTTCTGTACTACTATCCATTTATATTTTAATAATGCATTCATTTTACATCAATTTTAAAGGCTTATTTCAAGCTTACCTTAAATTGATATAAAAATCCCCCAGAGTAAATTGATTTAAATATTGAAACCCGATTTTTCCTAAAGTGCATATTTCCATTTTTTTATACTTTTTGTACCTTTTGTACAGCAAGGTGTGTGTGTGTGGCTGGAAAGTAGTTGAAAATTTACTTTGCGCATTATTCGATTTGTTGTCTTGGCCAGAGGACTGCACTTTACATTGTTTGCTTTGGGGTTCCGACTCGGACTCCAAGTCGGACTGTAGCCATTGCCCTTTGGCCAACAAGTCGAGCGGCAACTATTTTTTATGCTCGATGGCAATTTGCGCCCAGCTTCGAAATTTGCCGCTGATTGGCTGCACAAGTCACCCAAGGACCCCGAGCACAAGGACCTTCGGGCAGCTGTCAAAGCAACGGAGGGTCCACTGACCGCCGGATGTCCACTTAAATTCTTAAAGCCATCTGCCTTAAGACTTAATGCAGTCCCTGCAGCTGGAGTCCTTGCTCTGGCTTAATATTGCATAGTTTTGCGGGGCGCCAGTAAAGCCATAAAATACAATTCAATAACGCGTCCACCAAAGCCGCCGGCATCGCCGCCAAAAAGTTGCACACCTTGTCTGACAGCTGTAAAATCCGTGGCCTTAAAACCATGGGAAGGTGTTTTCGCTCCTCTTCCTTGCATCCTGCAAAGAATCCTTTGCCCGGAGTTCGAATTGAAGCTCGTAAAAAATAGCAGAGGAAACTTATTGAGCCAGTTATGAGTTTCTTCGTACATGATACTAACGGCTTGGCCCGCGGCAATAATGCGAGTGCCTGGCTGCCCCGGGATCCTTTGGACCAAAAAGGGAACCAAGAAGGTGGCGTGGGAGAAGGATATATCTCGTGTACATGTTATGGCTTTTTGGTGGGGTGTAAAACTTTTCCAACGGCCTCCATAAACCGCTTCGAGCTGTCCGAAAATGCAACCTGCATCTTCCTAAGAGCTGGAAGGAGCAGTAAGAAGCTTTATGCCAATACTTTGTCCAGGTGCAGGCTTAAGGTAGGGAGAGGGTTGAACTTGAAAATTACAATATACAATAAGTAAAAAAGATATTTTATAATAGCAAGGGTAATAACATGAATACTGAAGTAAATATAGTAATAACATAGAATAGAACTTTTTTTATAAAATATAACTTCAAACTGTATTAATATTTTCACATAAAGAAAGATCACTTTTCTAAGGTTTTTTAAAGAATTTCCCCGCTTAAGGTGTTAAATCCTAGTAGATCCATTTAAGTTGTCCTTCCTGGCCTCGTCTCGATATCGTACAACTCCGAAACAATCTCTCGTATAACTTTACTGGCAACAAACGCTGGGAAATTAGAGCCCAGTGGCAGCGAAAACTCTCGTATACTCATAATCCTCAACTGTTCTCCATTTTTCCCCCTCTTTTCTTTCTCGCCCTTTTTTTGTTTTGGAAAAACGCAGGTGTATACGGCGATGTGCAACGTGTAAAGATCCTGTACAACAAGAAGGACTCGGCACTCATACAGATGGCGGAGCCCCAGCAAGCTTATTTGGGTAAGTCAAACTCAAACAAAACGCACTTTCACCCCGGGAAACCGGAGGGAAACACACAGACGGTACACCCACAGCGAAATGGAAGTAATGAAAAATCGCAGGCTGTGAATCCTGGACAACAACAAAACAAAAACAAAAAAAAGAGCAACTGCAATTTGCAGCTTGTTTAAAATGAAAATTCCAGCAACATGAAATTCCAAACGGCGGTGCATTCCTTTGGCAACCGTAACCGTTCCCGTTGCAGCAAACAAAATGTATTAATAATAAAAATTGTTAAGGCGAAGCGAACGGGAACGGAGTGGGGGTGGTGGTGGTAGTGGTGGTATAAATGAAATTTTATAAGCGCTTTATTACCAGGAGGCGCAAACACCTGGTCCAGTTTTCCACCCATTTTCCGACCAACAAAGGCTGCAGCAGCCAGCAGCACGACGGGACATGCCAATCATTTTATTGCATTTATTTGTGTGCACTTTGGCATTGTCAGTGGCAAGAAGGACACCCCCAGGACCTCGTCCTCGTCCTGCCACCTCTCGCACCTCGCACACGCATTAAGCGAAATGAAAATTGTCGCGTTAAGAGCAGCCAACCGACGTGCCAAATTCCACTTTATTACAAAAACAGCAAGGCGATCGGGACGCCTGACAGCCGCCGACAGCGACACCTTTTTCAATTTTCATTTCGATTTGGTTTTATTCCATTTAACACACCAACTTTACTATATATATATATATATATCTTTATATATGTCCGAGCTGGCATGGCGCTACCTTTCCAATTTTTCCACTTTCCCTGTGTGTGTTTTTACACCGGTCAGAGCGGCATCAGCACTCATTGTTCCCACTCAGCGGGCTTGCGTTTCCTTCATTTGTGCTTTTTTATTCGCAATTCGATGGGAAAATAACTCAAAAGCTGTCAAAGTGCAGCGGCCCTGCTGGATGTCGCTTAATTGAAAAGGACAGCAGCGTGAAAATTCCACCGATTGTTTTCTTTATCTTTGACTGAGTCTTTTAATAACGCAGCGACCTTACCTTGAGACCTTACCTTATCTTAATTTAACAGCTGTAAATATAACAAACAAAAAGAATATTAATTGAATTAAAGTATAAGGGAAAGTGACTGAAATGGTTTAGAGAAAGTGACTATAGTGGTTTAGTAAAGTTAACATTTTAATAAATTCCCTTGCAGGTTATTATAATTTCAGTAAAAAGCTTAAAACGCAGTGAAGGAGTCATTTCCGAAGCTATAAATCATATATATTCTTGATCAGTATCGACAGGCAAATCTTTCTAGCTATTTCCGGCAGAAAAAAAATATTTTCAAAAATTTTCAATTTTTTCAGAAAAAGGAAAGGGGTTACATCATGAAAATTTTCAAAAATCGGCCAAAAAATCACTTTTTAAATGGAGTATGCAGTTTTATAAACCTGCTAAAAATTAACATACGGCTGCTTTCCGAATCGAAATTAATGCTTTTAATGCTTAGTTATGAGTTTTTTAAATTTTGATTTGTCGTAAAATTTGCATTTAAAAATATAGTTAATTTCGATTAAGAAATGGTATTGCACCCTCAGTCAGAAGCTGAAATGAAAGTGAAGGAGTCAATTCCGAGCCTATAAATTATATATATTCTTTATCACCATCAAAAAAAATGTTCAGAAATTTTCAATTTTTTTGAAAAAAAGGAAAGGGGTTACATCATTAAAATTGTCAAAAATTGACAAAAATTTTATTTTTAAACTGAGTATGCAGGTTTATTAACTTTACAAAAATTAAACATAGAGCAGCTTTCCGAACTTAAATTAAAGCATTTTTGACTTAGTTATGAGTTTTTACTATTAAGATTTCTCATATAAAATAATAGATTCCAGGAATGCCAATATTTGATGATGGATTTCCGATTCCATCCGATAATTCAATTTGCAAACTTCCTACAATTTGGTTTCTTTTTGGTTGTAAATATATTTATTAGTGCAGAAATCTTAGCCAAGAAAGAACTTCCGACTATCCTAGATAGTTGCTCCGGCATCATATTTCTTTGCTTCTGAAAGAAAAAGAACCGCATAAACCCCTTCATATTAATTATAAAATATTATTTCGAAAATCTCCCCACACAGAGCCCCATTTAAGAGCCATGAGAGTTTTTAAGCATAATTATCATTTATTTCATATGCCATAAATATTAAGTGGCTACCAAAGAGTTATTAGCTGCTTATGACCAATGAAAGCACATTGTGCCGAGCTCGGAAAATCTGGCTGCACAAACGAGCGCCATCGGAGCGCGTTAATCGTTCGCACATGTAATTTATCAATTATATTTTCCGTCACGATTCCATGACACATTTCCCCACACGAGAGTTCAGCAGGACTGCTCTGCTCTGCTTGGCTGTTGTTAATAAAGTTTAAATAAATTTAATCTGTTCAATAAATGCAATGGTCGATCGCAGCGGAAATTGCCAGCAAATTGCGCGCGTCTGGAAAAGCGTAAGCTACTGCATAATGAATGCCATCAACTGTTTATTGATTTAAATAAAAAGGAAATAAGTGCAGGTCATTGCGCACAGGTCGTGCACATAAGTAATGTCTGTAGGGTATTCGCAATTCCGCAGATTCCTGGCCCTTGTCACCGTCTGTGGCCTTAATTTTTTTTTTTATTTATTCAATTTCGCCGTAAAAGTATGCTTTGTCCCCGTACTCAATTAATTTTTTAATTATAATTATGTAAACATGCTTCTTGCAGTGCCATGCGATGCGATGCGCCTTGCAATCTGCTTTTGGCGCTGCTCAAAAGCATTCCAACTTTGAGATTTTCTTACTTAATTAATTGTGTTGACAGAAGCGAGTGGGGCGGGGGGGAGGAGGGGAACCTGGGGCCTGGCGGAAAAGCGAGCTAATCAGCAGGAGCTCTTGAAAATGCATGGCTAAATTTCAAATGCATTTCGGGATAATTCTATGCTCCCCCTTTGTGTGTGCCGCTGACAGGCAACTTATTTCGGTGGCGTATACGCAATGCAAAAAGGCTGTGTTAATTGAATTCGTCCGAAAAATTGACAGCATTCCGTGGACCCCAAACTGCAGTTGATAAAACTATTGTTTGCAGCATTTTCACGCAAATGAACCGACAAAACCAAAGCCAGTCAACTGTTTGACCAAACAAGCAAATTATACAAGTCGACAACATCCCTTCCGCTCCATAGACACACATATATAGCTTCAAACAGAGAGGAGGGTACTGCTGGTGGATATTCGAACCAAATGCCCCGGGACATGTGAAAATATTAATGGGCATGCGGCAGCATATAGACTACTAATGTGCCGCAAGGGCTGCCAAATGGCAAACACTTCCGCTGCTGCTACAAGCCAAGCTACACTATAACAAAATCTATTCACTTTTTCACAATGAATCTGCTACTTTCAGAATTTCTAGTTAAAGCTTAAGTGTGAAATTCACAGAATTCAATTAGCAGCTTCCACAAATCTTTAAATTCAGAGAAGCAATTATTTTTTCAAAGCTTAAAAGTAGCCAAGGCATAATTATCCTAGGAAAAATATATCTGTTTCCTTGCTCCTTTTAAGAATATTAATTAGGATTAGGTACGGAAAATTTCCCAAGAACTTGAAACTTTTGAAATTCTATGATATAATAGAAATCCCCTCTTATCCCAAAATATTCGCCAAGTGTAGCCCAGCTACCTGGACACCAGGTAACAAGTCTGAAATGGAAGCTCTGTTTTTGGGGCAGGAGTGCGCACTTATGCACTCATAAAATATTAACAAATTCATTCGTTACTTTGCCCAAAACTCCTCCGCCAACAAACAAAGACGATTACCGAACAAGGAGCCAAAGGAAGGCAGGAAGCAGAAAGCAGGAGCAGGAACAAGGATACTCGGAGGGCAGCTAGAGGGGGGGCTGCAGGACATGGCAGAGCAGCTGTCCAGGGTCACCAACTCACCCCATGCATACGAAAGTGTCTCGTAAGGTGGTGTGCGTTATGGCGGGGGCCACACACACAAAATACGGCTACAATTGCACACTCAGCATACGAATTACAGCGTAAAGGCGCAAAAAACTTTTCCTTTCTCTCTTTTCTCTTTTTTTTTCTCATTGTAAGTGAAGTCAATGGAAAATGTGGGTGTGAGGTGGAAAAGGCCTGCGAAAAGCGATGGGAATCGGACGCCAGAATGGACAACCAACTTTCAGGGGGCCCAAAACGAACTGCGACAGCAATCAGAGGGCGCTGAGCTGGGAAATAGACAAAAACACACAATGAAAAAACAATAAGCAAACTAGGGACGTACACAGAAATAAAATTGTTGATTAAAATGTAGCATAAATTTCTGAAAACATCTTAAAATATAAGTTATGGATTTGAAATCATTAAAATGCTTAATGAATTCAAATAAATAGCAATGTCTGTGTACAATTTTGCCTGATAATAACATAAACATCTTCAGAAACATGTTTTATTTGAATACATTTCACTTGTTATTAACAAAACTTATAAAATGTATATCTCTATTTAAATATATACAAATTTCTCCGTGTACTTTATAAGCTGCGTCCACTTGCCGGCCAGTTTCTAGGTGTGTGTGTATTATAATGGAGCATTTGTTGGGTGGCAACTGGGAATCAGAATCCGAATCAGAATCGGAATGGAGGCAAAGGGAGAAGGAGTGTTTTGTTGGGCGGGATTAAGTTTTTGTGCAACTTATTACCAACTATGGACAGAGGCAGACATAGACATAGACACACACACACACCCCTGATACTGTCGAATTTATTTGGCACACTCACAGCTGTGCTGTGTGTGTAGTTTCCCCTCTCTCTCTCTCTCTCGTTTGGCAAATAAATTTCATGGTTTCTGCCGAACAAATTACTACAAAATATTTTGCATAAGCGTACACACGCATAAAGGCATTTGCAATAAAAACAAACAAACTTGAACAAACAAAACGTACGGCAGACCCAGCACTGGCAGCATTCTATTGCCATATATATTATGGTCGATTACGCATACGCCATGTGTGCCAGTGTCAGTGGTTGTCTCTGTGTGTGTGGGTGTGTGTGGGTGTGCTAGTGTTCTAGGGAAATATATAGAGTTTAGTGAAAGTTTTCCGCCTGGAAACTGGACTTTCTTGGGTTGACAATGCTAAGTGACTGTTTGAATGACTTGGCGCCCGGCACTCCGTTTTTGGCCACAATTAATTACGGATACAGAGAGTCGAGGATGTTTTGCATAGTTTACGAGCCAGAGATAATAAAGTGTCTGGCCAGAGCGGGCCGTAGATCATAGTCAAAACATTTGTCGGACATTAATCGTTCAAATCGTGAAAGTTACAACTAACTTGAAGCCACTCACCTGAGCCTGGGCCCACACCTTCGTTCCAACTTCCTTTTCTTGGAGATGGAGTATTTTCTGAGTGGGGTTTGGGTCTCCGTCTCCTTCTCCTTCTCCCCAGTGAATGGTGCTTAAAAGTCTTAAGCTCAGAACTTCATGCATAAAACAGGGCAAACCCTCGAAAGCCTCCTCATCTCCGAATCATTTCACTTACTTTTTGAGGTCTCCTTGAACATTGTCTCTCTCTCGCCATCTTTTTTTAATGTTTTTGTTAGTTAATAATGATTTGTTGTTGGTCAGCCTTAGCTCCAGCCTCGTAATTAAAAGTTTAAGATATTTTTTGGGCAGCAGCTGCAGCAGCACTCGGAGGGTTGTGTAGGCAAAGTACCCTTTCCATTTCCAGCCTCGGCACATTAATCTTTATTACAAGTGTTTTGTCATACAGCGAGTCCTTGGAAAGAAAAACTTGGCAAAGGAAAGGATGTTTAGGCCATATGAGCAACAACGGGCTTTGTCACTGCTGGCATCGCTTTTTCCATCCTTTTATTTTACAATTTATTATATTCCCGGTGACCGGGCTTGGTTTTATTTTTTCTGTAAAATCATTTAATCCATTAGGCAAACAATAAACGGCTGAGTAAGCATATTGCTTTACAATAAAACACTGGAGAGCAGCAGTGATAAAATGTAATGTAATTTATTAATATAATGCACAACATGAGAATTGAGAAAAAAGTTTTCGGACCTAAGCCTTTGGATGACGAGGCAGAAAGATATCCCTTCCATCTCTGGAAATTAAATAAAAAACAAAACGTAATCGAAACTTAAATCGAAATGGGAAATGGAAATTGAATTGTACTTAAGTGCATCTTACTGCACATGCATTCCATTCCATTCCCTGCAAATCTATTCGATTCGATGCGATTCCCATTACATTGCAGTGGAGAGCCGCAGGTGTTATGACTGCCCGGAATATGAGAAATATATACGGTAGAGAGGGAAAAGCAGGCCCAGAGTAACCGCCCGAAGATGGCGAACTTTTGTTTGGTAATACTTTTACGGCCAAACAAGCATTTCAGCTTGTATAAATCACCAAAGGCAGACGACATTGATAAAGTTGCAGTTACATTTCAGTATGTAAATATTTGCCAGCACTTATTGCTGACTTTGTTCGACTTCGACGACTGGCGGCTGGTGTCTTTGCACTGCACTGAGGGAAAAATAAGGGGTTTAGATTAATATATCATTCTATATTATAAGTTAGGTCACTAGCTATCTATAGTACAGATAGTATTTTCTTAATACATTATTTTTGGAACATATTTGGAATGCTAAACTTTTCTTTTTGCGTGTAGATTCATTTGGGGTCTTCCCTAAGGGGAAGTGAAAACAATTTTATGGCTTGTGGCGCAGCATATAAATTGCATTTCTCCGGATACATTTATAGGCACACCAACAACAAACACCAACTTATCTAACAAACAAAAAAGTTTGCAGCCGTTTTAACATGTTACTTATTCTTTTTGTTTGCTGCCTTTACAGCCATGTCTCACCTTGATAAATTACGTTTATGGGGCAAGCCGATACGTGTGATGGCCAGCAAACACCAGGCCGTGCAGCTGCCCAAGGAGGGCCAGCCGGACGCAGGACTCACACGTGACTACTCCCAGAATCCGCTGCATCGCTTCAAGAAGCCGGGCAGCAAGAACTACCAGAACATCTATCCGCCATCGGCGACACTGCATTTAAGTAACATTCCGTAAGTATTCCGCTTAAAGGTGAAACAGGTGAATGAACAGTTGGGGGCGGATGGAGAAGGTGTGTTCCTGGGGGGCAGCTGTTGCTCCTTGGAGCTTCTTCTTCGATTCGGCAATGGCACGACAAGGCAATTACAATTACCGCTATGAGCAGCAGACACCCCGCGTGGCATCCTCCTCGTCTGCCAAATATGACAAAGCACCCCGCCAGCTTGGTTTCTACAAAGGCATGAGGGAGGAGGGACTAAAGGAGGAGCTCCTGCCTGGCTGGCGTCTGCCTTTGCTGGGTGAATTTATGAGTCGAAAAGCCCCTTGGAGCGCCTGTCTCCCTGCCACCCTGCCACACTGCCAGGCGGTATCAATGGACCAACCTCACAGCGGGGCCACGCACTGCCCCACCATTCACCATTCACCATTCACCAAAATAACACCCTTAAATCGATGACTGTTAATTTTAAACCTAACCAATACCAATTTACTTTACAGCTCGTCCTGCTCTGAGGATGACATCAAAGAAGCCTTCACCTCGAACAGCTTCGAAGTCAAAGCATTCAAATTTTTCCCGTAAGTAATTGACATTTGGTTGGAAGAGAAATAAAATGCTAAGGTCAAGGTGTTGATAACACATTAAAGTGTGATAATAGCACCAAAAGATAGGCATTCCTCTTCTCTGTGATCCTTAGACCTTACCATAAACAATTTCCTAACAAAACTCTCCTTTCAACTTACAGCAAGGACCGCAAAATGGCGCTGCTGCAGCTGTCATCCGTGGAGGAGGCCGTTCTGGCGCTGATCAAGATGCATAATCACCAACTCTCCGAGTCGAATCATCTGCGTGTGAGCTTCTCCAAGTCGAACATCTAGAATCCGATCCGTAGTCAGGTTCACTGAACCTGACTGGGTGCAACCGGCAGCTACATGCACCACCAGCACCACCAGCTGCAGCAGCAGCACCACCTCCACCACACCACGCTACAGGTCTATTGGCAGCAACAGATACAATCTATAATCCGCAGTACAAGGAGGATGCATCCGCACTTTAACTGATAATTACCCCATCGAATCCAATCGAATCACATGCCACATGCCACAGACCCAAACCCAAACCATTTAAATCCAATCAATTCAAAAGTGAAGCAACCCAGCGGCAACAATCGAAGAATGAGCTATACAAGTTTTAATTAGACGGAAACCGGCGAGGAATCACCGACTAAATTGCTAAAAACCACTAAATAATAAACAAAATATATTTGAAATTTAATGAGGAAATAGCATTTCAACTTATGGCGCACGCAGACAGTCAGAGAAACCACAAAACAAAACAAAACAAAACAAAAACAAACAAAACAAGAACCCACTAAACAATCAGCAACATCGTAACTTAAGCTTAACTTTAAAACTATAGTTTATAAGTATATTGCATTGCATAACATAAAAAACAAAAACAAAAACAGAAGCAAAAACAAAAACCAACAAAAATATATATAAAAAAGTGTAGAGAGTAAAGTAATGAGAGGAGCAAAGGAGATCGTAACTTAGAGATATTTTTAGTGCACTGTACTGTGTTTTGGTTTTAAAAAACGACAGAAAGTCAGAAAGAAGAACAAACAAACAAACTAAACAAAAACAAAAAACAAATGAGAGAAATTATGTTAAAAATGAATTAAGGCAAAGAGTTTTATTATGTACATGATGCTGTTATTATATTTTAAATGAATGCAACTTAACTATAATTTTTTACAAAGTATGTATGCAACTTTGAATGCAACAATCGCATAAAACGTAGCTCGTAAATGTTTTTCATTTTGTTAGTCTTAAAGAGAGTGAAAGCAGGCAGGGCGTAGTTCATGAGACGCGAAGAGAGAGTATTTAGAAAGACCGACCGAGAGTCCCGAATTGCACATTGAATTAGAGCCAGGGTGAAGTCGATGTGAAGTAATGTTAAATGCAACTTAAGAAGAATGTATTAAAATCGAAATAAATCTAAATCCAAACCCGAAACCCGAAACCCAGTCGAGAACTTGGACTCACACATTATGGCGAAGATATATCCTTGGCACCCAGGACACACCGGCCCCCTTTGCGGACGAATAATAATTTTAACTGGCAGTTAAATCAACGTAACGCGTACGTAAACCCCTTATGTGTGTGTATGTAATATGTAAATGTTGTTAAGTTAGCGCAAATTATACACGAAAACGATCAAAACGATATACATAGCGATTATAAGCGTGTGTATTGAACTACAACAAACCATGAAACAGGAAATTAAACAAATTTTAAGCTACAAAAGAAAGTATAATCTCAAAAACAAAAAAAAAAAACAAATACTAAACTAAAAGCAAAAAAAAAAAACAAAATCAAAAGGAAGATAAATTATATTTAATCATAGGCATATACTGGTAACGAAAGACATATACGTGTTTTAGCAAAACAAAACTGAATGATTTTTTGATAATTTTACAAGGACTCCTCACAACAACAACAACAACAAGTACAGACAACACACACACACACACTGACACACACAGGCGACACAGACTCACACACACCCACAGATACAGACATAAATATATGAAAGTTTATATATATTTAGAAAGTGAAATTATTTATACGTTGGCGCAAATGAACAAAAACGAGCATAGAGAAAAGGGTTAAAAGAAAAAGATCTAAAACTAATTGTAACTTACAAGGATATGGATTTAGTTAGTAAGCATGAGTAGCAGTGATCGTAATTTAAAATTAAAACAAAAGAAAACACAAAGGAAACAAATCACAAAACAAAAAAACAAGAAGCGACGAGAAGACGGTAACAATTAAATGAATGAATATATTTAAACGAAAACAAGAAAAACGTGTACGAAAAGCAACAGTAAAATATTGTAAAATGTAAAATTTATTGAAGTACTATATTTACAGTTATCAAAGCAAGTCGCAAAAATGTGGTTGAACAAGTGGCAAAACAAAAGACGATGTAGAACGGAAGCTAAAGTAAATGCAGACAGGATAATGAAAAGGATATGGAAAAGGAGAACCAGAATGAGCTCAGTTGACAATGCCTCTACCTACATTTTCCACGCAACACAGAAAGCTTACCAAAAAAGGAAAAACGTTTTTGAGCCAACTCTAGCGTTTCATATACACATAATGCAAATCTAGCTATCTAAACTTAACCTTAACCTTAACCTTACAACCTATATTTATCACACTTACATATGCTCTATGTCTATGTCTACTCCTTATATACATATATACACACTATATACACGTTTTGTTAGCGCATCGAAGCCAGGTGAAGCGATATGATGATACGATATATGATATATGATCAATATCAGAACCCACGACTGCTAGAATTTCAAACGAGAACTCTTGACAAATCAAAATTTCATAAAAGTATTTAAACGAACTTGTAACTCTACAACAAACCGAAGCAGAGCCACGAATTATATAAGTGCACATCCATTCCCCTCTCAGACTTTAACTTCAACTACAAAGCAAGAATGGTTATAGAGGAGGAAGGAGCAGAATCAGAAAAAGGAGACGGAGCCAGATCCTTTGGCATGCAGCGTTCAAAGAGTAATCAAATATTTAGCCCAACGATATAATATAGATACAATGGCGCCCCACTGCGTGTTAATGTTGAGATAGTGAACAAGAGACACCGAGAGCAGCATGCGAATTAATAGAACTAATACCGAAAACTACAACAAACAAATAAGGAATATACATTGCAGATGGAGTACACTAAATAAAAGAAAAAAAGAAAGAAAGTATTACTTTACCAAGTAGAGAATCACACACAAATAATAATTAATTTACCATTTAATTGAGAGCCCCAGCAAAAGATACAACATGTTTCAGAATAACAACCAGAGTTGCATCACAACAACAACAACAACAGCAAGAGCCAACAGTTTTAAGTTGCAAGTCGATGAAGAGATTTTACCAAAACATAAACATAAATTGAAGACTAATCGTGAATTAAAACATATATATATAGATTCATATATATACAGAGAAAGGGGAAGCACATGTTCCAGTGTTGTGAGGCAACGCATGCATGCATACTTATGTGCTACTTTTACAGTTAGAAGGATACCAGATATATATGTGTACATGTAATTGTAGCTATAACTATATATTAATGTATCGAAATAGCGATTGCTGCAGCAGCCAGAGAGTTGAAACTAAACACAAACTACAATCAATCAACAACAAAAATATTTAAAAAAAAAAAACGTAGAGAAACCAAAACCGAAACCGGAAGAGCAACAGTTTTGTTTTACGGAACAAACAGAACGCGCAAAACATATACAACATGAACAGAAACATATCAGCATTGTTTGACATATATAAAAATATGTGTAGTTAATTTTGAGCTGCATTCTTTTTTCCGAAACACCCTACCAACCAATCAACCAACCATCCATCCAGATACTTCAGTTTCAGAACACACACACACGCCTAACACAACACCGGGTTGTTATAGGATCAAACATAACACAAGAAGTTGGCATTAAGCAGGAGAATAGTATATTGCATGATAAAAAATTGTTAGTTTTTGGCAAAAGTCGACGATTAAAATAATAATAATAAAGTATTTTAGGGAGAGAAGGTACGACGAACCGCGGAAAGCATATAGGGAATTTGTTCAAAGTTTTGGATGATATTGATATTGATGAGGCACAGGCGATGACGCTTTGGAGATAAGACATAACCAAGTTGAGATACATATTAATAATTTGTACAGATTAACAGTTTTTGCGTTGAATGGGTTTTTTGGAACGGACAGAGTTTTATGGGTTCCTCCTCAGTAAAGAAAAGTATCCTTAGTAGCGGAAATTTTTTACATGTGTGGTTTTTTAGCGCAAATCAAAAAGAGTTGTTACGTTGTTATGGTTTTGTTTATTTGTTTTTTTGTACAATTAGACAAACGTGTATACAACCTAATATACAATAAACATAAACATGTACTTATAGTTAGAGAAATCTGTATGTGTTTGACATTCGAATTGCGTTTCCGGAACACACACACACACTCACACACACACCGAGTACAGTACTGCATTAAAGACACACACAAAACAAAAAGAGTTTAAAACAGGCAGAAGTTCCTACTTTTTAGTAAAATCGATTAATAATACATAACTAACAGGTGACAACTTGCAGCAGTGAATTTATTACGGAATACACATAAAACATAAAGCATAAACAATTGCAATTACAATTTGAATTCGATCGTCACTTTCCTTTACTCGCTTGCTTTTTATCGTGTATCGTATTCTCGAAGGCATTTGATTTCCTTGGTCTGTCTAACACACTTGTGAATATATATATCTGGTGCGCGGTTTTATCATAGGTCAGGCATTATTGCAAAATTTAAATAGGGTCCAAGTTTTAAATATTAAACAATTAAAACCTTACGATGGTACGTACGACTAAAGATGAGACAAAAAGAGCATGGCTAGCGGTCAGTCACACATTTGTTTTCAATTGGTACCCAGTCTTCAGGAGCATTCTTAAGGAGATATATATATATATATATATAAAATGTCGGTCACTTATCACTAATCTCACTAATTCCCTTCCCCCTGTGAATCGTTGCAACTGAGAGAGAACTTAGCAATCTGCCCTTCGAATCTTGAATCTTGACTCTTAACTGCTTAACTAGCCCAACTGCGAATATATAGACACGCGAAACAATCAAACTTGAAGACATTTCTTGAATCAAATTTTTAGTATACACCAGGCAAGAACACTTTGCTACTTTTGTGCTCTCTAATTGTACAACTTAAAGGTAATACAACAAATAATCATTTTACGCTCTAAACGCAAAACGTAAACAAACAAACAAAAACTAAAAACTAAACTAAAGCGAAGCGAAACGAAACGAAATGGCGATGTTTATGTAATGCAAGATTTTTCTCACCAAATTTTACTACAAATCTCTTATGTGTATTGTATATAAAATGGAAAAAAACAAAACAAAAACAAACAAAATCGAAATGAAATGAAAACAAAAATGTATTGATATATATATTTAAATGTATGCGATTGCGGTTGCAATTGCAATTGCGAGCAACATGAAACAGCGTCAACGTCAAACAAAAATGAATTAACAACATCCGAAACCAGCAGCTACGCGACTCTTAATTAATTTTTAACAAAAACCTAATGATACATTTTCATATTGCAATCGAATTTGACTTGACGACGACGACTTGGCACAAAGTGAAATGCGAAACGGAATATAAATGAAACGTGTATTGTATGTACGAATTACGAGCATTGTGCTTGCTGAGCTGAAGATACTTAGAACTAAAGATTAATAACTGGGGACAGTAACTAAAAGTGGATGTTGCGTTGGCATCGAAAATATTCAATTGAGAGGGCGCAGCATTGAGATTGCAATGATATGAGATGAATATTTGTTATGTTACAAGCATTAATTAATTAATTATTATAATATTAATTATTATTGAAAATATTTGAGAAATAAAGATAAAATACAAATGATTCAAATCATTAAAACAAATGTTTTTTCACTTTGATACTTTATACGGAAAACCTACGATTGCTTATTGTTAAGTTTTTTAGGCATTATGATTTAATTTTAATGAATTTTTAAGAAAAAGAACAGAGAGAGAGCGTGCGACTTAACAGCTCACTTCTACTCGCTCACAATTACTATGTTTCCTTAGTTTTCTTACTTTTTTTATTGTATTCTATCTCTTAAGTTTTAGATTTTCATGTTCATAATTATTGTACTTTACTTATGAGCTTATTTTTACAGAAATACAAGAAATTAAAAAGGACGTTTTGTTTTAATTTCTAGTTTTCAAATGAATGGGGGGAAGAGAAGCCTTTCTTCCGCAACTGTTCCCACATTTATACCAGTTCCAGCTTATACCAGTTGGCCAATAGAAAGGTTCATCACTTGGCTGCATCTGTTGCATGAAGGGAAGCCAGAATAAAGCAGTGTTGTGGTTGTGCACTCGGCTAGAGAGAAAGCGGAAGTTATTTCATTATGATTTTTTCGAGAAAATCCCAATTTTACAGTTAAGTATCTTGGCCAAAAAACATTAATTTCAATTTGGAAATCGTTTCTGAGTTAGCTTTAATTGGGTAAATCAACGAAATTAACATTTTTTATCATATTTCGTAAATTTTAACGATGTAACCTTTTATCCTTTTTTTGAATTAATTTACAATTTTAAAAAAATTATGGTATCTGCCAGAGCTAGCTGGAAAGATTTGCCTATTGATACTGATCAAGAATGTATATGCTTTGTAGGGTCGGAAACGACTCCTTTACTGGCTAAAATGATATATACCGTCTGCAAGATTTTTGGCAATTTTAATGATGTTACCACTTACAACATTTCGAAAATATCGGTAAAATTTTTTTTCCCATCTGACATATATAGATCGAATCGTCTGTTCACGCTGATCAAGAATATATATAGTTTATAGGGTCGGAAACGACTCCTTCACTGTGTAAATGCCAAAAATAGGAAATTTTAATTTATTTTATTTAAATGTAAAGCATACTTTTCGGCTGCACTTATTTCCTATTTAATGGTGTAGCATACTTCTAGGGGGGTTAGTAAAATATGTTAATCGACCTTCTGCTGCCTTCTGTTCGCCTGGTACTTCAGACCCAAAATTTCTTAAATTGCCAACAACAGGGAATTGAAATTTATTTAATTTAAATGCAAAGCATGCTTTTAGGGGGCTTAGTAAAATTTGTTAATCGACCTTCTGCTGCCTTCTGTTCGCCTGGTACTTCAGACCCAGAATTGTTAAATTTGACTTAAGGTGGGATCGGAATGGGCCACCAGTGATGCTCATTTAGCTATATTGCATTATTGGGAGAAAATGGCATCTTACTTGCCACCAGTGATGCTCATTTAGCTATTATGCACTATTGGGAGAAAATGGCATCTTACTTGCCACCAGTGATGCTCATTTAGCTATTATGCTTTATTGGGAGAAAATGGCATCTTACTTGCCACCAGAGATGCTCATTTAGCTATTATGCTTTATTGGGAGAAAATGGCATCTTACTTGCCACCAGAGATGCTCATTTAGCTATATTGCATTATTGGGGTAAAATGGCATCTTACTTGCCACCAGAGATGCTCATTTAGCTATTATGCTTTCTTGGGAGAAAATGGCATCTTACTTGCCACCAGAGATGCTCATTTAGCTATTATGCATTATTGGGAGAAAATGGCATCTTATTTGCCACCAGTGATGCTCATCTAGCTATATTGCATTATTGGGGTAAAATGGCATCTTACTTGCCACCAGTGATGCTCATTTAGCTATATGGCATTATTGGGAGAAAATGGCATCTTACTTGCCACCAGAGATGCTCATTTAGTTATATTGCATTATTGGGGTAAAATGGCATCTTACTTGCCACCAGTGATGCTCATTTAGCTATATTGCATTATTGGGGTAAAATGCCATCTTACTTGCCACAAGTGATGCTCATTTGGCTATTATGCTTTATTGGGAGAAAATGGCATCTTACTTGCCACCAGAGATAATGAATGCCATCAACTGTTTATTGATTTAAATAAAAAGGAAATAAGTGCAGGTCATTGCGCACAGGTCGTGCACATAAGTAATGTCTGTAGGGTATTCGCAATTCCGCAGATTCCTGGCCCTTGTCACCGTCTGTGGCCTTAATTTTTTTTTTATTTATTCAATTTCGCCGTAAAAGTATGCTTTGTCCCCGTACTCAATTAATTTTTTAATTATAATTATGTAAACATGCTTCTTGCAGTGCCATGCGATGCGATGCGCCTTGCAATCTGCTTTTGGCGCTGCTCAAAAGCATTCCAACTTTGAGATTTTCTTACTTAATTAATTGTGTTGACAGAAGCGAGTGGGGCGGGGGGGAGGAGGGGAACCTGGGGCCTGGCGGAAAAGCGAGCTAATCAGCAGGAGCTCTTGAAAATGCATGGCTAAATTTCAAATGCATTTCGGGATAATTCTATGCTCCCCCTTTGTGTGTGCCGCTGACAGGCAACTTATTTCGGTGGCGTATACGCAATGCAAAAAGGCTGTGTTAATTGAATTCGTCCGAAAAATTGACAGCATTCCGTGGACCCCAAACTGCAGTTGATAAAACTATTGTTTGCAGCATTTTCACGCAAATGAACCGACAAAACCAAAGCCAGTCAACTGTTTGACCAAACAAGCAAATTATACAAGTCGACAACATCCCTTCCGCTCCATAGACACACATATATAGCTTCAAACAGAGAGGAGGGTACTGCTGGTGGATATTCGAACCAAATGCCCCGGGACATGTGAAAATATTAATGGGCATGCGGCAGCATATAGACTACTAATGTGCCGCAAGGGCTGCCAAATGGCAAACACTTCCGCTGCTGCTACAAGCCAAGCTACACTATAACAAAATCTATTCACTTTTTCACAATGAATCTGCTACTTTCAGAATTTCTAGTTAAAGCTTAAGTGTGAAATTCACAGAATTCAATTAGCAGCTTCCACAAATCTTTAAATTCAGAGAAGCAATTATTTTTTCAAAGCTTAAAAGTAGCCAAGGCATAATTATCCTAGGAAAAATATATCTGTTTCCTTGCTCCTTTTAAGAATATTAATTAGGATTAGGTACGGAAAATTTCCCAAGAACTTGAAACTTTTGAAATTCTATGATATAATAGAAATCCCCTCTTATCCCAAAATATTCGCCAAGTGTAGCCCAGCTACCTGGACACCAGGTAACAAGTCTGAAATGGAAGCTCTGTTTTTGGGGCAGGAGTGCGCACTTATGCACTCATAAAATATTAACAAATTCATTCGTTACTTTGCCCAAAACTCCTCCGCCAACAAACAAAGACGATTACCGAACAAGGAGCCAAAGGAAGGCAGGAAGCAGAAAGCAGGAGCAGGAACAAGGATACTCGGAGGGCAGCTAGAGGGGGGGCTGCAGGACATGGCAGAGCAGCTGTCCAGGGTCACCAACTCACCCCATGCATACGAAAGTGTCTCGTAAGGTGGTGTGCGTTATGGCGGGGGCCACACACACAAAATACGGCTACAATTGCACACTCAGCATACGAATTACAGCGTAAAGGCGCAAAAAACTTTTCCTTTCTCTCTTTTCTCTTTTTTTTTCTCATTGTAAGTGAAGTCAATGGAAAATGTGGGTGTGAGGTGGAAAAGGCCTGCGAAAAGCGATGGGAATCGGACGCCAGAATGGACAACCAACTTTCAGGGGGCCCAAAACGAACTGCGACAGCAATCAGAGGGCGCTGAGCTGGGAAATAGACAAAAACACACAATGAAAAAACAATAAGCAAACTAGGGACGTACACAGAAATAAAAATTGTTGATTAAAATGTAGCATAAATTTCTGAAAACATCTTAAAATATAAGTTATGGATTTGAAATCATTAAAATGCTTAATGAATTCAAATAAATAGCAATGTCTGTGTACAATTTTGCCTGATAATAACATAAACATCTTCAGAAACATGTTTTATTTGAATACATTTCACTTGTTATTAACAAAACTTATAAAATGTATATCTCTATTTAAATATATACAAATTTCTCCGTGTACTTTATAAGCTGCGTCCACTTGCCGGCCAGTTTCTAGGTGTGTGTGTATTATAATGGAGCATTTGTTGGGTGGCAACTGGGAATCAGAATCCGAATCAGAATCGGAATGGAGGCAAAGGGAGAAGGAGTGTTTTGTTGGGCGGGATTAAGTTTTTGTGCAACTTATTACCAACTATGGACAGAGGCAGACATAGACATAGACACACACACACACCCCTGATACTGTCGAATTTATTTGGCACACTCACAGCTGTGCTGTGTGTGTAGTTTCCCCTCTCTCTCTCTCTCTCGTTTGGCAAATAAATTTCATGGTTTCTGCCGAACAAATTACTACAAAATATTTTGCATAAGCGTACACACGCATAAAGGCATTTGCAATAAAAACAAACAAACTTGAACAAACAAAACGTACGGCAGACCCAGCACTGGCAGCATTCTATTGCCATATATATTATGGTCGATTACGCATACGCCATGTGTGCCAGTGTCAGTGGTTGTCTCTGTGTGTGTGGGTGTGTGTGGGTGTGCTAGTGTTCTAGGGAAATATATAGAGTTTAGTGAAAGTTTTCCGCCTGGAAACTGGACTTTCTTGGGTTGACAATGCTAAGTGACTGTTTGAATGACTTGGCGCCCGGCACTCCGTTTTTGGCCACAATTAATTACGGATACAGAGAGTCGAGGATGTTTTGCATAGTTTACGAGCCAGAGATAATAAAGTGTCTGGCCAGAGCGGGCCGTAGATCATAGTCAAAACATTTGTCGGACATTAATCGTTCAAATCGTGAAAGTTACAACTAACTTGAAGCCACTCACCTGAGCCTGGGCCCACACCTTCGTTCCAACTTCCTTTTCTTGGAGATGGAGTATTTTCTGAGTGGGGTTTGGGTCTCCGTCTCCTTCTCCTTCTCCCCAGTGAATGGTGCTTAAAAGTCTTAAGCTCAGAACTTCATGCATAAAACAGGGCAAACCCTCGAAAGCCTCCTCATCTCCGAATCATTTCACTTACTTTTTGAGGTCTCCTTGAACATTGTCTCTCTCTCGCCATCTTTTTTTAATGTTTTTGTTAGTTAATAATGATTTGTTGTTGGTCAGCCTTAGCTCCAGCCTCGTAATTAAAAGTTTAAGATATTTTTTGGGCAGCAGCTGCAGCAGCACTCGGAGGGTTGTGTAGGCAAAGTACCCTTTCCATTTCCAGCCTCGGCACATTAATCTTTATTACAAGTGTTTTGTCATACAGCGAGTCCTTGGAAAGAAAAACTTGGCAAAGGAAAGGATGTTTAGGCCATATGAGCAACAACGGGCTTTGTCACTGCTGGCATCGCTTTTTCCATCCTTTTATTTTACAATTTATTATATTCCCGGTGACCGGGCTTGGTTTTATTTTTTCTGTAAAATCATTTAATCCATTAGGCAAACAATAAACGGCTGAGTAAGCATATTGCTTTACAATAAAACACTGGAGAGCAGCAGTGATAAAATGTAATGTAATTTATTAATATAATGCACAACATGAGAATTGAGAAAAAAGTTTTCGGACCTAAGCCTTTGGATGACGAGGCAGAAAGATATCCCTTCCATCTCTGGAAATTAAATAAAAAACAAAACGTAATCGAAACTTAAATCGAAATGGGAAATGGAAATTGAATTGTACTTAAGTGCATCTTACTGCACATGCATTCCATTCCATTCCCTGCAAATCTATTCGATTCGATGCGATTCCCATTACATTGCAGTGGAGAGCCGCAGGTGTTATGACTGCCCGGAATATGAGAAATATATACGGTAGAGAGGGAAAAGCAGGCCCAGAGTAACCGCCCGAAGATGGCGAACTTTTGTTTGGTAATACTTTTACGGCCAAACAAGCATTTCAGCTTGTATAAATCACCAAAGGCAGACGACATTGATAAAGTTGCAGTTACATTTCAGTATGTAAATATTTGCCAGCACTTATTGCTGACTTTGTTCGACTTCGACGACTGGCGGCTGGTGTCTTTGCACTGCACTGAGGGAAAAATAAGGGGTTTAGATTAATATATCATTCTATATTATAAGTTAGGTCACTAGCTATCTATAGTACAGATAGTATTTTCTTAATACATTATTTTTGGAACATATTTGGAATGCTAAACTTTTCTTTTTGCGTGTAGATTCATTTGGGGGTCTTCCCTAAGGGGAAGTGAAAACAATTTTATGGCTTGTGGCGCAGCATATAAATTGCATTTCTCCGGATACATTTATAGGCACACCAACAACAAACACCAACTTATCTAACAAACAAAAAAGTTTGCAGCCGTTTTAACATGTTACTTATTCTTTTTTGTTTGCTGCCTTTACAGCCATGTCTCACCTTGATAAATTACGTTTATGGGGCAAGCCGATACGTGTGATGGCCAGCAAACACCAGGCCGTGCAGCTGCCCAAGGAGGGCCAGCCGGACGCAGGACTCACACGTGACTACTCCCAGAATCCGCTGCATCGCTTCAAGAAGCCGGGCAGCAAGAACTACCAGAACATCTATCCGCCATCGGCGACACTGCATTTAAGTAACATTCCGTAAGTATTCCGCTTAAAGGTGAAACAGGTGAATGAACAGTTGGGGGCGGATGGAGAAGGTGTGTTCCTGGGGGGCAGCTGTTGCTCCTTGGAGCTTCTTCTTCGATTCGGCAATGGCACGACAAGGCAATTACAATTACCGCTATGAGCAGCAGACACCCCGCGTGGCATCCTCCTCGTCTGCCAAATATGACAAAGCACCCCGCCAGCTTGGTTTCTACAAAGGCATGAGGGAGGAGGGACTAAAGGAGGAGCTCCTGCCTGGCTGGCGTCTGCCTTTGCTGGGTGAATTTATGAGTCGAAAAGCCCCTTGGAGCGCCTGTCTCCCTGCCACCCTGCCACACTGCCAGGCGGTATCAATGGACCAACCTCACAGCGGGGCCACGCACTGCCCCACCATTCACCATTCACCATTCACCAAAATAACACCCTTAAATCGATGACTGTTAATTTTAAACCTAACCAATACCAATTTACTTTACAGCTCGTCCTGCTCTGAGGATGACATCAAAGAAGCCTTCACCTCGAACAGCTTCGAAGTCAAAGCATTCAAATTTTTCCCGTAAGTAATTGACATTTGGTTGGAAGAGAAATAAAATGCTAAGGTCAAGGTGTTGATAACACATTAAAGTGTGATAATAGCACCAAAAGATAGGCATTCCTCTTCTCTGTGATCCTTAGACCTTACCATAAACAATTTCCTAACAAAACTCTCCTTTCAACTTACAGCAAGGACCGCAAAATGGCGCTGCTGCAGCTGTCATCCGTGGAGGAGGCCGTTCTGGCGCTGATCAAGATGCATAATCACCAACTCTCCGAGTCGAATCATCTGCGTGTGAGCTTCTCCAAGTCGAACATCTAGAATCCGATCCGTAGTCAGGTTCACTGAACCTGACTGGGTGCAACCGGCAGCTACATGCACCACCAGCACCACCAGCTGCAGCAGCAGCACCACCTCCACCACACCACGCTACAGGTCTATTGGCAGCAACAGATACAATCTATAATCCGCAGTACAAGGAGGATGCATCCGCACTTTAACTGATAATTACCCCATCGAATCCAATCGAATCACATGCCACATGCCACAGACCCAAACCCAAACCATTTAAATCCAATCAATTCAAAAGTGAAGCAACCCAGCGGCAACAATCGAAGAATGAGCTATACAAGTTTTAATTAGACGGAAACCGGCGAGGAATCACCGACTAAATTGCTAAAAACCACTAAATAATAAACAAAATATATTTGAAATTTAATGAGGAAATAGCATTTCAACTTATGGCGCACGCAGACAGTCAGAGAAACCACAAAACAAAACAAAACAAAACAAAAACAAACAAAACAAGAACCCACTAAACAATCAGCAACATCGTAACTTAAGCTTAACTTTAAAACTATAGTTTATAAGTATATTGCATTGCATAACATAAAAAAACAAAAACAAAAACAGAAGCAAAAACAAAAAACCAACAAAAATATATATAAAAAAGTGTAGAGAGTAAAGTAATGAGAGGAGCAAAGGAGATCGTAACTTAGAGATATTTTTAGTGCACTGTACTGTGTTTTGGTTTTAAAAAACGACAGAAAGTCAGAAAGAAGAACAAACAAACAAACTAAACAAAAACAAAAAAACAAATGAGAGAAATTATGTTAAAAATGAATTAAGGCAAAGAGTTTTATTATGTACATGATGCTGTTATTATATTTTAAATGAATGCAACTTAACTATAATTTTTTACAAAGTATGTATGCAACTTTGAATGCAACAATCGCATAAAACGTAGCTCGTAAATGTTTTTCATTTTGTTAGTCTTAAAGAGAGTGAAAGCAGGCAGGGCGTAGTTCATGAGACGCGAAGAGAGAGTATTTAGAAAGACCGACCGAGAGTCCCGAATTGCACATTGAATTAGAGCCAGGGTGAAGTCGATGTGAAGTAATGTTAAATGCAACTTAAGAAGAATGTATTAAAATCGAAATAAATCTAAATCCAAACCCGAAACCCGAAACCCAGTCGAGAACTTGGACTCACACATTATGGCGAAGATATATCCTTGGCACCCAGGACACACCGGCCCCCTTTGCGGACGAATAATAATTTTAACTGGCAGTTAAATCAACGTAACGCGTACGTAAACCCCTTATGTGTGTGTATGTAATATGTAAATGTTGTTAAGTTAGCGCAAATTATACACGAAAACGATCAAAACGATATACATAGCGATTATAAGCGTGTGTATTGAACTACAACAAACCATGAAACAGGAAATTAAACAAATTTTAAGCTACAAAAAGAAAGTATAATCTCAAAAACAAAAAAAAAAAAACAAATACTAAACTAAAAGCAAAAAAAAAAAACAAAATCAAAAGGAAGATAAATTATATTTAATCATAGGCATATACTGGTAACGAAAGACATATACGTGTTTTAGCAAAACAAAACTGAATGATTTTTTGATAATTTTACAAGGACTCCTCACAACAACAACAACAACAAGTACAGACAACACACACACACACACTGACACACACAGGCGACACAGACTCACACACACCCACAGATACAGACATAAATATATGAAAGTTTATATATATTTAGAAAGTGAAATTATTTATACGTTGGCGCAAATGAACAAAAACGAGCATAGAGAAAAGGGTTAAAAGAAAAAGATCTAAAACTAATTGTAACTTACAAGGATATGGATTTAGTTAGTAAGCATGAGTAGCAGTGATCGTAATTTAAAATTAAAAACAAAAGAAAACACAAAGGAAACAAATCACAAAACAAAAAAACAAGAAGCGACGAGAAGACGGTAACAATTAAATGAATGAATATATTTAAACGAAAACAAGAAAAACGTGTACGAAAAGCAACAGTAAAATATTGTAAAATGTAAAATTTATTGAAGTACTATATTTACAGTTATCAAAGCAAGTCGCAAAAATGTGGTTGAACAAGTGGCAAAAACAAAAGACGATGTAGAACGGAAGCTAAAGTAAATGCAGACAGGATAATGAAAAGGATATGGAAAAGGAGAACCAGAATGAGCTCAGTTGACAATGCCTCTACCTACATTTTCCACGCAACACAGAAAGCTTACCAAAAAAAGGAAAAACGTTTTTGAGCCAACTCTAGCGTTTCATATACACATAATGCAAATCTAGCTATCTAAACTTAACCTTAACCTTAACCTTACAACCTATATTTATCACACTTACATATGCTCTATGTCTATGTCTACTCCTTATATACATATATACACACTATATACACGTTTTGTTAGCGCATCGAAGCCAGGTGAAGCGATATGATGATACGATATATGATATATGATCAATATCAGAACCCACGACTGCTAGAATTTCAAACGAGAACTCTTGACAAATCAAAATTTCATAAAAGTATTTAAACGAACTTGTAACTCTACAACAAACCGAAGCAGAGCCACGAATTATATAAGTGCACATCCATTCCCCTCTCAGACTTTAACTTCAACTACAAAGCAAGAATGGTTATAGAGGAGGAAGGAGCAGAATCAGAAAAAGGAGACGGAGCCAGATCCTTTGGCATGCAGCGTTCAAAGAGTAATCAAATATTTAGCCCAACGATATAATATAGATACAATGGCGCCCCACTGCGTGTTAATGTTGAGATAGTGAACAAGAGACACCGAGAGCAGCATGCGAATTAATAGAACTAATACCGAAAACTACAACAAACAAATAAGGAATATACATTGCAGATGGAGTACACTAAATAAAAAGAAAAAAAGAAAGAAAGTATTACTTTACCAAGTAGAGAATCACACACAAATAATAATTAATTTACCATTTAATTGAGAGCCCCAGCAAAAGATACAACATGTTTCAGAATAACAACCAGAGTTGCATCACAACAACAACAACAACAGCAAGAGCCAACAGTTTTAAGTTGCAAGTCGATGAAGAGATTTTACCAAAACATAAACATAAATTGAAGACTAATCGTGAATTAAAACATATATATATAGATTCATATATATACAGAGAAAGGGGAAGCACATGTTCCAGTGTTGTGAGGCAACGCATGCATGCATACTTATGTGCTACTTTTACAGTTAGAAGGATACCAGATATATATGTGTACATGTAATTGTAGCTATAACTATATATTAATGTATCGAAATAGCGATTGCTGCAGCAGCCAGAGAGTTGAAACTAAACACAAACTACAATCAATCAACAACAAAAAATATTTAAAAAAAAAAAACGTAGAGAAACCAAAACCGAAACCGGAAGAGCAACAGTTTTGTTTTACGGAACAAACAGAACGCGCAAAACATATACAACATGAACAGAAACATATCAGCATTGTTTGACATATATAAAAATATGTGTAGTTAATTTTGAGCTGCATTCTTTTTTCCGAAACACCCTACCAACCAATCAACCAACCATCCATCCAGATACTTCAGTTTCAGAACACACACACACGCCTAACACAACACCGGGTTGTTATAGGATCAAACATAACACAAGAAGTTGGCATTAAGCAGGAGAATAGTATATTGCATGATAAAAAATTGTTAGTTTTTGGCAAAAGTCGACGATTAAAATAATAATAATAAAGTATTTTAGGGAGAGAAGGTACGACGAACCGCGGAAAGCATATAGGGAATTTGTTCAAAGTTTTGGATGATATTGATATTGATGAGGCACAGGCGATGACGCTTTGGAGATAAGACATAACCAAGTTGAGATACATATTAATAATTTGTACAGATTAACAGTTTTTGCGTTGAATGGGTTTTTTGGAACGGACAGAGTTTTATGGGTTCCTCCTCAGTAAAGAAAAGTATCCTTAGTAGCGGAAATTTTTTTACATGTGTGGTTTTTTAGCGCAAATCAAAAAGAGTTGTTACGTTGTTATGGTTTTGTTTATTTGTTTTTTTGTACAATTAGACAAACGTGTATACAACCTAATATACAATAAACATAAACATGTACTTATAGTTAGAGAAATCTGTATGTGTTTGACATTCGAATTGCGTTTCCGGAACACACACACACACTCACACACACACCGAGTACAGTACTGCATTAAAGACACACACAAAACAAAAAGAGTTTAAAACAGGCAGAAGTTCCTACTTTTTAGTAAAATCGATTAATAATACATAACTAACAGGTGACAACTTGCAGCAGTGAATTTATTACGGAATACACATAAAACATAAAGCATAAACAATTGCAATTACAATTTGAATTCGATCGTCACTTTCCTTTACTCGCTTGCTTTTTATCGTGTATCGTATTCTCGAAGGCATTTGATTTCCTTGGTCTGTCTAACACACTTGTGAATATATATATCTGGTGCGCGGTTTTATCATAGGTCAGGCATTATTGCAAAATTTAAATAGGGTCCAAGTTTTAAATATTAAACAATTAAAACCTTACGATGGTACGTACGACTAAAGATGAGACAAAAAGAGCATGGCTAGCGGTCAGTCACACATTTGTTTTCAATTGGTACCCAGTCTTCAGGAGCATTCTTAAGGAGATATATATATATATATATATAAAATGTCGGTCACTTATCACTAATCTCACTAATTCCCTTCCCCCTGTGAATCGTTGCAACTGAGAGAGAACTTAGCAATCTGCCCTTCGAATCTTGAATCTTGACTCTTAACTGCTTAACTAGCCCAACTGCGAATATATAGACACGCGAAACAATCAAACTTGAAGACATTTCTTGAATCAAATTTTTAGTATACACCAGGCAAGAACACTTTGCTACTTTTGTGCTCTCTAATTGTACAACTTAAAGGTAATACAACAAATAATCATTTTACGCTCTAAACGCAAAACGTAAACAAACAAACAAAAACTAAAAACTAAACTAAAGCGAAGCGAAACGAAACGAAATGGCGATGTTTATGTAATGCAAGATTTTTCTCACCAAATTTTACTACAAATCTCTTATGTGTATTGTATATAAAATGGAAAAAAACAAAACAAAAACAAACAAAATCGAAATGAAATGAAAACAAAAATGTATTGATATATATATTTAAATGTATGCGATTGCGGTTGCAATTGCAATTGCGAGCAACATGAAACAGCGTCAACGTCAAACAAAAATGAATTAACAACATCCGAAACCAGCAGCTACGCGACTCTTAATTAATTTTTAACAAAAACCTAATGATACATTTTCATATTGCAATCGAATTTGACTTGACGACGACGACTTGGCACAAAGTGAAATGCGAAACGGAATATAAATGAAACGTGTATTGTATGTACGAATTACGAGCATTGTGCTTGCTGAGCTGAAGATACTTAGAACTAAAGATTAATAACTGGGGACAGTAACTAAAAGTGGATGTTGCGTTGGCATCGAAAATATTCAATTGAGAGGGCGCAGCATTGAGATTGCAATGATATGAGATGAATATTTGTTATGTTACAAGCATTAATTAATTAATTATTATAATATTAATTATTATTGAAAATATTTGAGAAATAAAGATAAAATACAAATGATTCAAATCATTAAAACAAATGTTTTTTCACTTTGATACTTTATACGGAAAACCTACGATTGCTTATTGTTAAGTTTTTTAGGCATTATGATTTAATTTTAATGAATTTTTAAGAAAAAGAACAGAGAGAGAGCGTGCGACTTAACAGCTCACTTCTACTCGCTCACAATTACTATGTTTCCTTAGTTTTCTTACTTTTTTTATTGTATTCTATCTCTTAAGTTTTAGATTTCATGTTCATAATTATTGTACTTTACTTATGAGCTTATTTTTACAGAAATACAAGAAATTAAAAAGGACGTTTTGTTTTAATTTCTAGTTTTCAAATGAATGGGGGGAAGAGAAGCCTTTCTTCCGCAACTGTTCCCACATTTATACCAGTTCCAGCTTATACCAGTTGGCCAATAGAAAGGTTCATCACTTGGCTGCATCTGTTGCATGAAGGGAAGCCAGAATAAAGCAGTGTTGTGGTTGT